CAGTAAATATCAAAGCATATATTGCTGAATAATGATGTGCAAGACGCTGAAGTGGGTGATGTACATTTTGTACAATATCATTCACTTTGTCCCCTTATCAACCTTGTTAGAAAATCAAATTTGGATGAATAGAAGTAGAAAGGTAAAAAAACAGCATTCTCTTGATTGTATTGAAGATCAAAGTCATTGTTTTAAGAGTGGTGTCTTCAGCTGAATCACTCCTAGTTAATTGCGTAATTATGTTTCTTGTTATTTGGGTTACATTACACTTGAAAGTTGAAACTACTCCAATTAGTGAGGCTCTAAAAGTTAATGCTCTCATGTAGGTGAGGACAACATAAAAGCTGAGGAAACCAAAACTGCTGAGCCTGAGGTACGTGTGAGATAAATTTTGCCTATATTTGCATGATTTTGAAATGATGTGTGAAATTCTTGTATATGTGAGAGACATAGGGCTTGTTTGAAAAATAAAACTTTTTTCTATTTCCATTTCTTGTTTTCACAAACAATCACAAAAATATAACCTTATTTTCACTCATTTCTTATTTTTAAAGATTTGTACTGTTAGAAAACTTGAGCCTAACTTACTTCCAAAAGATAGCTGACAAATATTTGAAAATGGTAAACAAAGTGAGAAGAAAGTAACATTTTTGTACTTATTGTGAAAACAAAGCACATCTTCTCAAACTAAATAGATTCTTATTTTCTTTAGTCACTGTTTCATAAACTATTTTCAACCCCTAAAATGACATTCTACCTTGCAGCATTGACAAGGTTCCTCTGGATCTCTGACCATGATTTGGTAGTCAGATATCTAAGGTACTTTACAAAGAGGGCATTTTTCAGCTTTTCTTGCAATGGATTTGGACCAGACAACGGGGACTGTGGCTATTTCATGATTCTTGTGCTCTCTTAATATCCAACCAAAGCCAGAAGATCTGTGCCTGTTTATATTTTTTCCTTTTCTTTTCTTCAAACTTTTCTTTTTTAATGCCTTATCTGTTTTAAGTAAAGTGGTCAGTTGAAGCAATGGACAATCAATTTTCCTTATAAGCATCTCATTCCTGTGTTACATCTTAATGTATTCTGTGGAAGATATTTTGTTTCCTATAGACGATATATAAAACATACAACGGTTTAGCAACAATGTTTACCACAAAATTCAGCAATTAGTTCAAATAGTATCATGTCAAACATCAAAGACATCTTTAGTGTAAACATTAGGCCGTAATGTGAATTCTGGTGAACTCGTTCTCTGGGATTGTTTAGGCATACTGAACAATAAACTAGGCAGTAAAAACTAGTCAAGGGCATCCTTGCCTAGAGATGGTTATTTTTATTACTTACACAACCAACGTTTCTTATCAAGGGCTTCTTTTGAAACACGTTGAAAATAATTTAAACATGAATTTAACATAGAAGGTATAATTAGTTTTAAAGTAAACGTAAATTTATCAATATTTAAACGGAAATCTAAACATGCTATAAGTTCCTATCAATCATTTTCTTTACCTCTTTCTCCTCCCATCAGTTATGAACAAAGTGAAGGATTTTGATAGTACCTGGTCCATTGAGGCTAACCCTACACATCAAAGGTTAAGTGGCAGGGACTTTTATTTACTTCCCAAAGTGGCAAGTAAATTTACATGCTGTATAAAGGTCCTATTCTGAATATAAATTGGAGTCTCCGTCCAAATTTAAAAGAATTTAAACCAAACCTCTGATACAACTACAAGTTTTCATATTTAGTATGACGTATTTCGCAACTAATAATAACTATTTATATTATGTCAAATTTTATTATCCCATTATTTAGAGATGATATAATTTGGGAATGTACTATACTTGTCTCATACCCAGTGAATGCTTATATACTCATTAGATCTACTACACGTACTTTGGATAAATAAAATATTTTAATATTTTTTATAAACTAATAAAACAAAAATATTATTTTTAATACCGACTTTACGAAAATCAATAAAATAAAAAGTGATGATAAAAGATGCAGCATCTAACTCAATTAAAAAATATTCAAAGATATTTCCAACTCTTGATACACGCACATAATTAAGTTATCAATGAGTCATGATAGATTTATTAAGAAAAAATAAAGCTTAAACGTTATCACTTGGAACACTCGATGCACTAGATAGTCTATTAACAAAGCTTTTGGTTTAAAAGAGGGAAGAGGTTCAGACCAAAAAAAAAAAAAAAAGAGGGAAAAGGAGAAAAAAAATAAAACTTTTATCAACCTTAGAGTAAATAAGGTTCTAAGAATTAAAACATAAATAGAATAGTTTTGTCAACATACTTTAAAATTTTATAAGAATAATTTTTTGACCCTCAAAATATCCCTAATATTAAAAAGGAGATAAATTTGAGAGAAGAAATCTTGGCCAATTGAACAAATTTGACCCTCAAAATATCCCAATATTTTCCTTCAACCAAACACCATATAAATGCCAATATCCTTAATCAAGCAGCCATTTGACATTTTATCTCCTTTTTATGGTATTGCTTAATTTATTCTTATTGAGCTTCAAAAATCGCTCATTGAGTATTTGTCATGTTGGGATCGTAATTCATTTTAGAGTTAAATGTTGGTCTCTTCTTGTTGCTTAGTAATGCATGTGATAACTACTATTTCGATAAATTTATTTTTCGTTATTAATGATGTTTTAAGCCTGTTGTTGCATTTTCACATCACAATGACACTTTAATACCATTGCTATAATTTTCCCACATCTTATTTTATATATTATAGAGCTCTTATTTTAAAATATTTTATATGGTATCAAAAAGGCTAAAAAATGGCTACATAATTCATATGAAGTCAAATTCATAAGTTTAGAGGGTGAAATTAAGCTTAAAAGTTAGAATAGAGGTGCTATAATTATTTTCTATGTTGTGTTCACCTTTTGGCCCATAACTTGGTCCATGGGACAAATTGAGATAATGTGCCTTAATTAATTTTTTTTTATAATTTTCTTCAATTTTAAATATTTTAATTTATTTTTATATGATACATCAAGTATTTTTTAATAACAAAATTAAAATTATTATATTTTTTCTTTTTTTAAAAAAAACGTGTGATTTCATAATTTTTAATAATAGTAATTTTTCTTACCAATTATTGTCTTTATTATAATTTTACTTAAACTTAAAAAAATACCCGTAGAATATATAAATAACTTGTTAATATATTTTAATTGAGTTCATGTAATTTAATAAATATCGGTGTTGATACCACATAACAAATAGGGTCGGAATCAAGATTTTGGCGAAGAGAGGTCAAACCCACAGAGTTATATATAATTTAGATAGAAAAAACGTTATTACATCATCAGAATATCCTCTCAATTAATTTTAATAATTGTTTAAAAAAAACTAAGTGTTCAAAATTGGAGTTTAATGAGAACAATTCTTAATCCTCACGCTTTTAAGACTTATTTTAGTCGATAAAGTTACTCAAATTCTTGATATGTTAGTTGCAATACAATGTTTATAAGAACTCTTCAGTTAATTTTTATAATAATTAAAAAAAATTTCAACAAGTTTTAATATTATTATAACAATATAACTAAGTTGAGAAAAAAATGTTCAAGAGAATTAAATTGAATAAATAAAAGTTAGAAAACAAAATTAGAATATAAAAATACTATTTTTTTTCTAATCATTAATTATTTCAATTTTTAATATTATCATCTCAGTTTAGTTCCTGACGTTGACGATTGTCATTCATTTTAATTTTTACTTTGATACACATTACTCAATTTGATCTCTAATATTAAAGATTGATTGACTTATTTAATAATAATAGATATTAAATTAATTGAGAATCTCAATTTCATAAATCAAATTGATGATTTAAAATTAGAAATTAACTATTTAAAGAGTAAGTTTATTATCAATTACCATCTTATTTAATTTGAATAAAATTATTTTCTATGAAATATATATATATATATATATATAATTTAGAAAAATATTAATATAGAAAACTAAATTAATTAGTATAATAATTTTAAAAACTAAATTAATAGTATTTTAAATAAGCATAAGAAAATTCTTTCCCCATAAAATTAGAACGGAAAAGTTACTAATGCTATCCTTTTACCATTCATCTCAAATGTCAAAAAACATAAAAACAAATTATCTTGTAGGATATTCCCTATCAAATTCTTATCCAGGCAATACAATTTCTAAACCTTAAATTTTAAACATTAAAAACCAAACATAAAAAAATTATTTATTTTTATTCAAAGAGAAAATCATTTACAAGTTCTTGAAAAATATTGATTAGAAAAATGAATAAATATTTTTTTAATTGCAAATTCCTTTAACAAAACGATACTTGCAGTGTTCCGTCATAGATGGAAACCGTCGACCAATAACTAGGAGTGTTTGTTGGGGGATGAAGTAGACTACTTTTGTCTCTTCAATAGAAAATTTTGAAAGAATTATTTATTTAGACTCAAACTCAATTTGATAAAAATTTAATAATATGTAATGTGATGTGATATTAAATCAATGTAATTTTATAACAAAATATACTAATATGAATATTAAATAAAGTATTATTAATTAATTCTATAATTTTGTTATTAATACAATTATTTAAAAAATTACACACTAATTAAGTAAGACAAATTAAGATACATATCTATTTTGTGTCGCTTTCCATGCAAATGTACTCTTTATATTCACTTTCATCTTCTACAATCTTACCCTTTAATCATTTTTTTATCCGTAATCTTAATTTCAACTTTTTCCATCATTAAATTTCAGATTCTGTATAATCTATATTTTTAAACTTTAACTATTTTAAAAATAAATAAAAATTAAATTAAGAGATCATTGTTCTGTTTTTTCTGCTTCGTATATTATTTCTACTGACATGGTTTCATAGTGCCCTTTTAGGATAGTTACATCGTTTCCATAACCCAAAAGAAAAATAAAATTTAAAATCGTGATTTTTATTAGATTTTTACTTGAGAATGGCTGCTGTTACCAACCCTGTTCACGTGTCAGTTCAGAGACATCGAATTTCTTCAGTTTTTTCGTTGCCCAGAAGAGTTTCAACCGGTTATGGCTTGCTCAAGGTTCGGGCACTTCAATCTGAAGCTAAAGATTCAAGCTTTGCGTTTTCTCCAATGGTGGGTGGTTCCAAGCATGTGGTGCCACTGCCAATTGGACATTCTGGAAAGGCTTTGGGGTTAAGAATGTTTGGCTTGGATCAGAAGCTAAGACATCGAAGGTTTCCGGTTGTGACAGCCTTAGCAGCAGATGATGATGGCAGTGAAGGAGAAAAAATCAAAGAAGGGTTAGAGTTACACACTTTTATGTTTGGTTCAATTTTATGACAAAAAATAATAATGAAAAGAAGTCTTTGGGTTACTTCTTGCTTGCATGGGGACAAAATGAGTGAATAGCTGAAAGCAGTTAAAATTTTTTAGAGAAAGGAACATAATGATATGTTGCTTATGCTAAGATTTATTTGTCTTATTTTCCACCTCTTTTGGTTGCAGAGGTGGTGGATTGAACAGAAATTGAATTAAAATTGTGAAAATGATTGTCTCACACCCCTCTATCGAGAGGAAAGAGAGATACAAAGAGAAAGAAAAGAGAGAGAGAGAGAGAGAATGGTTAATGTGATCTGAAAAGAAGAAGATATAATGTGTATGTTTGGTACTTTATATCCCAGTAAGCCTGCAAGAAAACTTGTGCTATTTGATTTTTGCTGATATTTCCCTATTTTATTTCTCTGATGATAGATACCAAATTACAGGTCTGTCAAACCTTCAAGGAGTTTTGGTGAGAAATTCCCTGCATTGGTTACTGGTTTCTTTTTCTTCATGTGGTAAGAATTCCTCCCTTTGGATCGTACGTTTATATTATAAAGGCTACATTATTGCAAACTTGCTATTTATTTTCTAACATTGTCCTTCTTCCCTGCAGGTACTTCTTAAATGTGATTTTCAACATACTCAACAAGAAAGTATACAATTATTTTCCATATCCTTAGTATGTTTTCCTCTAGAGGTCATTCTATTTCTTATACATATACGGATTTTTATTACTGTATCTACATAATTTCGCCTAGATAACTGTCATTTCTAGCTTAACTCTTAACGTGATTGTTTAGCATTTTAAAGATTCCTTCCCTTGTGACATTATATTAATCCTTTCAAATCCTTTGCAGTTTTGTTTCTGTTGTGCATCTCCTGGTAGGGGTGGCATATTGCCTTGTATGCTGGGCTTTAGGTCTACCAAAACGTGCGGTAAGTTATAATTCCTATACATTATGTTTTTATCCTCAAGTCATATAATAAATTTCATTATTATGTTTTCTTCCTCTTGCCAGCCAATTGATAAAGAGCTGTTGGTATTACTGACTCCTGTTGCAATATGTCATGCCCTTGGCCACGTCATGTCCAATGTGTCATTTGCTGCTGTTGCTGTCTCATTTACACATACCGTAAAAGGTATGATAATTGGATGCCCAAAAAGAAATCTTTGGCTGTTTTTATTTATATGTACCTGTTGTTAACCAGGGGAGTTCCTCTATCACTCTGAATGTATGTCTTAATGCTTTTCCCAACATGCCTATGTAACAACAATTGATGATATGAGCCTATGACTTAAATTGTGATTTAAACTGTTTATCAAAAAGAAGTTCCACAGAATAAATATTTGTGAAAATATACTTGCGAATTTCTCATAGATTTGAATGTTTGCTTTTTTTTTTTTTTTAATTGTCCATTGCCATTCTTCTGATTAACTAACTTATTTCTAAGCATTTGTATGCATTGATCAATATTCTGGTTAAGCATTTATATCCTGTTTCTGTGTTTTGTAGCGCTGGAGCCTTTTTTCAATGCTGCAGCTTCCCAGTTTGTCCTGGACCATCAGATTCCTTTGTCTCTGTGGCTATCATTGGCCCCTGTTGTTATAGGTAAGCTTATGTCCCTTGTTATTACCTTATCTTTGATTAAAAAAAGAGCTTCCTTAAACTCTTAATATATGCTACATATTTAAAATTTAGCATGTACACAAAAATCTCCTCTGCTTAAATATTTTATAATTCTTATATATTCAATTCTTAAAACTTGACAGTTCTATTCTATAATGTTTATTAACTCGTATGAGTGTCACTTTAGGTGTATCAATGGCATCACTAACTGAACTGTCTTTCAATTGGACTGGATTCATTAGTGCAATGATTTCAAATATTGCATTTACATACAGAAGTATATATTCTAAGAAAGCAATGGTATGATTTTTAACTACTAGGCCTGTTTAGCATTTCTTTCTAGGAATGTTTTATCTTCCTTACACATTATAAATACTTTTAATTTTAACAGACTGGAATGGACAGTACAAATGTATACGCATATATTTCAGTAATTGCCCTGTTCTTTTGCACCCCCCCGGCAATACTTGTAAGTTTATTTTCTACAAAACATATGAAACACTAAGAGTATGTTTGTTTTCCATTTTAAAAACATTTTTTAAAATGGAAAACAAACACACTCTAAATTTTATGTTTGATTGGGTTTTGGCTACTTTCAGATTGAGGGTCCCCAACTTATGGAATTTGGATTTAGAAATGCTATTGCCAAAGTAGGCTTGCTCAAATTTTTTTCTGATCTTTTCTGGATTGGAATGTTTTACCATCTTTACAATCAGGTATCCTTGTGTTTCAGTCAAAAATAAATTGAATTATATTATTTGGGACCTTATGTTCTCTGCAGACTCAAATTGATATGCAAAGAGAAAACTTTCACAATATTTTTTAATATTTATATTTGTAGCTTGCTACCAATACTTTGGAACGAGTTGCACCACTAACACATGCAGTAGGAAATGTACTGAAGCGAGTTTTTGTCATTGGATTCTCTATAGTAGTGTTCGGTAATTACTTTAACTTGCTTATAATTTGGAAATGCAACTCAACTTAGGTTAAAATGCAAACTATTCCTTCAATTTTTTTCTTTCAAAAAATAATCTGTCCTCTGTTGATTTAATTTGGCTTATCAATTGAGTACAAGGGGTTATTTGAAACACAGTAGCATCAGTTGGAAGTTTCAAGTAATTTAATTGCCAAATTTGAGCCTCAGGTTATTTATCAAAAGGTCAAAATTGAAGGGTTAATTTTTATTTTTATTTTAAAATGCTTCTATATTCATTCTAACATTTGCTTACGTCTGCAGGCAATAAGATATCCACACAAACTGGCATTGGCACTGCAACAGCAATTGCTGGTGTTGCCATCTATTCTCTGATAAAAGCAAACATGGAAGTGCAAAAACGGGTAAAATTGATTGAAAATCTTGCAATTTTGCTTTTCTTTTTGTCTCGGCATCTTTATGCTGTGCTAAATTTATATGCTGTACATCACTACATGACTAATTTGCAAAATATTCACTAGCTTACTCACCCTGGTTCTAAGGCAACCTAGAAGTAATTTATAACCTCCCAACTCCTAAGAGTGTAAAGAAGTATCATTTCAGGTTTAAGGATCCATTTGAATTAGTTTCCAACTTTTGAGATCTTTTCAATTGTAAAACTCTGTTATTAATACTTTTCTAAGGCAAGAATACCCAACTATGTTAAGTTTTTAGATGTCTATGGAGAAGTTATATGTGAGATCTTCTAAAACAAGTTGAGGTACATAACTTATGCGATAAGTTTGATTCATTTTACTTCATTGATTCATGTTATTTTCTTTTGAGTGCTTGTTGAGGTTTATACAACTGACTCTAAATCACATTGCTTGATAATGGAAATATGCATACTTAATGATTACTTTATTCCATTTCAGAAAGCTGCTGCAGCTCTTGCATCTTAATGGATGCTCCCTTTTCTATTAGCAATGTTGGATCATGCTACATTGGCTTAAATTTAATTGGCATGAAGCATTCAGAGAATCCAATAATTGGAATCATACTTCATGGCTCATACCTTGAAAAATAAAAGCTTTTAGAAAAAGTGGATTGTGGAAAATATACATCGGAAGATGGGGTTGTTTTTTATTCATTTTCTGTATGTATGGTATTGTAAAAAATTGATTGCAGCGTTTAACCAAGCATAAATTGCTTGCCCAACAAAAAGTAGGGAAAATCATGTTGGGCAGAGTGTATATATACAAGTTTCTCTTCTATACATAAAAGATATTCCTCAAGATTTTTCACATTTTGATCATAAGCATTTACTTTTGTCTCGTTGTCTTTACCACTTTTTCCAAGCATCTAATGTTTGAAATAGCTCCTGTGTAGTTTCCATGCTTGCAGTTGTTGCAACATTTTCCTTTATCCTAAACATATCACTTCATTAAATGAAAGAGCGTGAGCCATTATGATTGAGCTAGTGGCGAGGGACTTGGGTAATTTGTATGAGGGCATAGGTTCCAAATCTCTGTCACCATTATACCAAATAAAAATAAAAATAAAATGAGTGATAACAATCATTACTAACTTGTTACAATATATGTTAAATATACGAGTTTGTCATGTATATTAAAAAAAGTTAAATTATCTAACCCATTTTTCTTCACTGTGGCAGCAGGAATAGGAAGTTGAAATAATGACACATAAGACTAGATGCTTGGTCGAACTAAAATAACAAAAATTATCAGCACTGCATTAGTTGCTAAAAACACATTAAATTAAGGATACGGATCTCTTATACAGTCTGCTCCATAACCTAATGTGTTTTGGCTTGAGTTTGGGACTTGTTAAGCTTAAATATATATGTATTTACATTAGTGAGTCACAAAAGGAGATGTTATAGCGCGATTAGGCTTGACTTGACATGTGTCATCTCATGGCAAGTGGAACTTAACTTACTGACTTGATGTTTTGATTATTTGTTAATGATTTATATGAATTGCTAAGAGTTGTCATTTTTTTTAAATGTAAATTAGCATTTGTATTATAAAAACAAATTTTATTTTGTTTTTTTACTGGGACTTAAGTGCAAAAGAAAAATTAAGTGTAATAGGAGAAAACAAAGGCATCCCATTCTGAAGTTCAATTTCAGAAGTTGTAGAAAAAATTTGATCCATAAACTCTACAAGTAGAAGTAACCTTATATTTTGGTAACTTAGCCGAAAAACTGGTTTTAATAAAAATCATCCAAGTAACCCGAATTTACGAAGAATTTTCAAGTTAATATATACAAAAACAACATGCTCTTAAATTATCTATACAAAGGGGTATGTTTCACCTCGTTATTTTGGACAAGTTTCAAACGACTGCTCGATTGAAAGTGTTACCTTATTTGCGGTAGAATTTAATACAACCACAGCACCATACAAGCAGTTTCCAAATTCTTGCCGCTTCCAGTGATTGCCAGCACTAGGTTGTTAAAAATAGATAGTGCCGAAAATAGAAAAAAGAAAAAAAGAACCACGAGAAAAATAAGTGACTAGCCTGATCTCTATCTTACTAAAATTGGCCCTGTTCTATAATATAATTATTTCAAAAAACTTCGCTGGAAAAATCACTGCTTTTGGTTTTCCTTAAAAAAGCTAATTCCATCTTCGACACCCTCCCGGCTTCGTAAACACGTAAATACAAAAATGAAGATTGCAGGAAGCGATCATTTAATCATCCTGCCCCGACAAGCTGAGTAGCATCCAGCAACATACACACAGGGATTCCATCGGAAATGGATGCAACAAAAGATTTGTCAATTAACTTAAATAATTCATTTGAACTTCACAGATAAGTGCACCTGCCATAAAGGAAAATTATATATCAACATGAGCGGCTTTAGTACTAACAACATTCATTTAAAAGGATATCTATGAGACAAGATAAGCCCTCCAAAAAAGCGCGCCGCGGGGGAAGGGGGGGGAGAGAGACTAACGGACACTTCTCCATTTAAACAGTCATACCCGCAGTGAATTGTGTGAAAGAAACAAAACTAGGAACCGAAACGTAAACACTAGATTCCAAAAGTAAATATCCCGTTAGAAAAATAAATTTTCCAAAGAAAAGAAGTCCTTGAAAAAGTTGCAAAACTTACTATTCAAGGATACTCCATACTGTAATCAAGATTGAACAGCATGTCCCGCCGGCCTTCTGAACCCAGTCGGTAATTCAGGGATCTAGCTAGTGATTCCACTCGGTCATCACTTTCATAGTCCATCTCTCGTAAGCATCGCCGTCTGACTTTTTTTAGTGTCTCTTTTGATGGTTCAAATCCGGCAGCCGTCTGCCAATAAATTTGATAAACACCAATGAACTTTGCTAGCAAAATATACTTATTTCATTTTAAGAAAATAACCCGAAGCAGTTACCATATCATTAATCACTGCCAGAGCAGATTTGACATCCCGGTTAATCAAGTGGGCATCAACAAGCAGAGAATATGATTTTGCATTAGGCTTGAGACCCAAACTCACTAGGTGCTCAAACACCCTTGAAGCTTCATGTGTCTGCCATAAGATAATTAAAATTATAATTATGAGGGCAATTCTTGGTTTGACAAAACAAACCCTGCTGTAGCACAAGAATTATAATTGAGGACGAGAACATTTCAAAGATGTGTTTTCCCTTTCTCCAAAAACATCAAACCAACATACGTTTCCGTTTCCTATCATCCTATGCAATCAATATGACAGACAATGATCTTTTATTTCCTTCTCGCCCCACAGACCCACCACAAAACAGTTGAAATGACAAATAGGAGCAGGTTTGAGTGGCAGTGCAATTAATATGACAAATATCATGCATGCAAACGATAGTTAAAACTGAATTGAAGTCTAATGCAAGATTTAAAAAAAAAAAAGGAACAGTGGAAAGAATAGAGACAATGGGCAAACAGATACTTAAAGAAAAAGAAGCATGGGGGCATTGAATCATCACCTTCTTGAGCTTCCCAAAGGCATACATAAGCCCATTGTAAGAATGAATATCAGGGGTCAACCCAAAAGTAGATCCAATTGATTCAAAAGTTTGGTAAGCACGATCAAGGTCCCATACATTTGCACATCCTAAAATGACGCAGTTTAGTGCAGCAACAGATTTATAAGGATTTTCTCCACGATTTAAATTCTCCAGTTGAAAATAAACCTAGATAGAACATAACAAGATTAGATAAAGCTACAAAAGAATATACCATTATGAAAAACAAAAATACAGGTCATGGCAACAATTTAATTTATGTTGCATGCATGCCAACAATTGCAAAATGATAGTACAAATGCAACATATGCTCAAAGCAACAACAAAGTTTTTTAAGTAAATATGAATCTGGAACAATACATATCAAGAATGAAAAATTGTCTAATCTAAATCCAACAGAAAATTTGTAAATATAATGTCAATATAAACTCAAAAATCATAACAAGTTTGGATTAGTAACAAAATTTATAGGTTAGTACTACTGATTATTTTCTTGAACAGAAAGAAAGACATACGTTATCCAAAGTCTCAAAACCCTTCTTGGAGCAAGCCACAACCAATGGATGTAACGAAGTAAATGGGCAGAACAACTCTTCAGCTTCTTGACCAGCATCTCCATAAGCAGACTCGTATTCATTCAGGGTACCAAAAGCCTTTTGTAGATTCCCCAATGATGCAAGTGCATGTATCTTTCCAAGATATGATTCTGGATTAGGAGCTTTCTTTTTACGCAATGAGCGGATCAAAACAGCCCATGCTGCCCCTAGAAGCTCAGAATCATATGTTCTACCTGCAGTCAAAATAGCTGACAGAACTAAACCTTCATCTACAGAAAGAAGTATAGGGGGTCTTGCACGTTCACCCTTTACAATCCATCTAGCCATAAACTCCAGGCCGTAAAAAGCTAACTTGCTATTATCCTCTTGAATTGCAATTTCAGTAATAAAATTGCACGAGTTCCAGGAAGGGCAAAGAGCTTTGTTTTGATCTGTTGTCTGGAAACACCGATGAGATTTGAGAACATTACAAGCATCAAGTTATTAGTAAATCAACTACAGAAAAATTTATTAAGTATCAACAGATTAATCACTCACCCTGCACCTTTCGATTATTGTCACCAATGTATCAAGCCTGCCCTTATTGACACAACTCTTTACAGAGTCCATAAATACCTTCATGGACAACATGTAACCAGATTTCAAAGTTAAATCTATATATTTGAATGCAGCATCAATCTCGTATGTGTTAAAGAGCATTCCAATGACCAAGTCATATGATTCATCATCGGGGAGTGATTCCTTTCCTGTCTCCAGCATCCTGATAATAACATAGCAAAGCTTGATATCTAAGGAGGCACATGTACTCAATTTAAACATACAAACAAACGGTGAGAATAAACTACCAAGAGAGTAATTTTGACATTGGTTAGTCTCATCGTTGTACTTAATACTTATTGGTTTTTTCAACTTTATTGTTAAAAAATATGAGAAAATATGAGGCAAGAGCAAGGCCCATTCGGCTGGGTGTGAGAAGCAAAACTCCATTTCAAGTAGAAAATCTCCTGTTTTAACAATCTAGCTCTGTTAGGAACGAGGTCATCTCTACTCAAATGACACAGAGCCCACTTTGTCTATCTCAAATTCTGTATGGATCGGTCATTCAAACCATATGAGATAGACAAGCAACTACAATCTTGTATCAGCAGGGAATTAGACACAAAACTCCCATTATTAAATTACTGTCTCTTAACTCTTAAGAGTCTGGCTTTCTACAAGAGTGAGCTTTCGTCTTCATCAAGATCAACAAAAGCAAGCAACATACGCAAAAAGTAATCAAGGAACAATCACCATTGATGGATTTCCTAACCAAAAAAAAACAAACTCCAGTTTAATACCAATTAACTAAACACAAAGTTCGTTGACATATAACTAACCCATTAATAATTCCCTTAAGCATTGTTAGCTCTCACGTAGCAAACTGGAAATATTTTCCCAGCAACTCCGAAACAGTAATTCTCTTATAACCAAATCCATAATAAAGTGGAAAAGCGTAAATGATATTCAAACAAAACAATTCAAAGACCAAAAACTAATTTAAATTATAAAAAAACCCTTTAAACACCAGAGAAGTAACAGTTAAATTATAACATGCATAGATAGCAGTACACGGCTCAAAGTCATTGGGCAAAATTGGATAATTAAAAACATATTTTCTCCTTGGAACAACATAAGAACTAGCATGTGATCTAACCGTTGGAGCAATTTCTGAGCAGCGACGGTTTCGTTGGCCTGGTACATGGCTTTGAGGACGAGGTTAAACGACGCAGTATTGGGGGAGATGTTGAAGTGGTCCATTTGAGAAACAAGGTCAAGCAATTCATCAACGGAGGCACCAATCATGAGATTGGCTCTGAGGTAATGGTTGAAGAGGTTAACATCGGGTTTGTTAGGTTTACCCGTCTTGTCGAGAGACCTAACCCATGCCTCGAAGAGTTGCTTCACGTCGTGCCAACGCTGCGAGGCCATCCAATCGCCGAAGAGGTCGAGGAGCGCGTGGGGATCGTAGGTGTCTGAGGTGGTGCGGTTGTAGCTGCCGAGCGTGGTGAGCGCGTGGGAGGAGGTTGAGGGTGGGATTGGGCTGCGCCAGTTCTCGTTGTAGAGAGGACTTCCAGAGGCTGGGTTTGGAGGGAGTGAGGTGTGAGTCGGGGCGGGGGTGGGGTCCACAAGCTGTGGTTCCTGCGAGAGGAATGGGAATGTGGTTATGCTTTTGATTGTTGTTGTCGTTTTGGGGAGAAGGGAACGAGTTCGGAAGAGGATCGCCATTTGCGAAGCCATGGATGGAGCAATGGAGCGTGGAGAAGATGGAGATTAGAGAGTGTGTGTGGGTTTTACTTTATCGCATTTAGGGTTTGTTCCTCTGCTTCGGATTTCGGTTCGGGATCGTGCTGGCGGATACATGGTAAGTTTTAGTGTTTATTTTTCACTGAAGGAAATTGGGCCTTGGTTGTTACAGGCCAAGGAAAACAAATTTGGGCAAGTTCCGTTGCACCTTGGACCAACTTCCGTTGATGTTAGTTCTATTTTTTTTAACTAAACTATGTCTTGATTTCAATAGAAAAATTTATTCTAATCTATTAATTTTCATAAATTCTAATTATGAACTGTACTCTGTTGGGAAAAAAATATGCAAATGAAGAAAAAAATTGAAATTGAGCTTAAAAAACAAAAAAAAAAAAAAACAATATTTTTTAATTATTTTTGGAAAAAATCATTTTGGGCTTAAATTGGCCCAATCTGATTCTCCGGCATAACCCACAATCTGCTTAACCTACAACTTGTTCAACATAAATTTCTAAGCGAATGATTACAAACTCAACAATGCAGAGGTCGGTTTGGGCTATTCTTAGGTCAATCACACCCAAACTCGTCTAACTTGACCTATTGGACAGTCCTAATTTTTACTATGAGCTTCAGAATTTAATTTTTTAAAAATAAATTATAAGTTGCTAACTAGTAGGAACAGTTCTAGTAGGATTTATAATGAGCCACGTGTTAATATTTTATTAGACGATATTTAAATTAAAAATGAAAAAATAACGAGTTTGATTTTGATCAGTTAAATTCATGCAACAAATTTGTCACTTTTCTAAATTAAAATTGTGACACGATGGTTGTTTCTTTGACGGGGAAAATATCTTTATCTTTGGTTCCTTTTTGAAATATGAAACTGAAGAATAATGGATTTGGAGGAGAATAAAGGTAGACAGATAATGAAAAGAAGCGTAGAAAAGTGGCAACTTTTGTTTCTTCGATGGGCTTTTCAATGGAAGCATAAACTTTGAAGGGATAGCCTTCATCATTAACCTTTTCTGTTAAACCCAATTAAGCCCTTTACAGACACACATTGGAGTTCCATAAAAGCAACGTTCAAATTCAAAGGCCCTCTTAGCCTCTTAGCAAAAAGGAGAAAATTCCCTATTCCTTTTCAACTCTTTACCATACTTTACAATCGTGCTGTGTGTCTAGCCCATAACCAATCTATTATCTCATATACGAGTTTTGTTTATGAATGATAATAGATTCTACTTTATTGAATATTAATACAAATAATTTGCAATAAATAGACTAAACACTTTATGAATATGGATATTGTAGTGTTTATGCTTATTTAGTCATTCTAATTAGGTTCATGCTCGATTTTGGTTTCTTGCATTTTTTTTTAATTAATTAAGCTTCTCTGTTTTTCAAATTATATAAATTTAATCTTTTAATTAATTTATTTTACTCAAACCTCTAAAAAATTTATCTAAATTTTATGGAAGTTTGAAGAAATGTATAAAATGTAAAATCATGAATTGAAGATAGAAAAGTTTTGAGTTTTGTTTTTAATTTTGGATGAGATTTAATACTTTAGTAAGTTGGTGTTGAGTAAAAGACAATTACGTAGATTTAATTTCTAATAATTTTAACTATAAAACCAGATTTCGAAAGATTTAAACAGAAAAATAAAAACAATGAGAGTCAAAATTATTAAATTTTAAAAGTAGCTTAGCTTAATCAACTTTAACAAATGAAAGAATCTCACGTATGTTCTAATACACAAAGATAGCTTATTTTTATTCTCTTCTACATAAAAGAAATTAATGTAACTTGAGATTATTTTCAAATTAATTTTACATATGTTTTAAATCAAAATATTTAATTAATAACACTATTAACTATCTATTCTCCCAAACTAAAAGCTTGAAAACTAATTTACATAAAAAAAAGAGAACTAAAATGAGACAGTTCTATAGTTATATCCACTCCTTGTCTACCAACGTCACTAAAGAATTCATTGTGCAAAGTGACGTTTCAGCAAACATAGTGAGTGGTGGACAATCTTTTTTGGTATTGTTTCTGCTTCTATTTACAACACACTCAATTATTTGATATGATATTTTTAAATAAATTAGTTAAAATGAAATGCAATGAGATGAAAAAAATTATATTTTTTGATATTGTTTTCTTGACACTTTTTATACCAAATAGTTTACCGTATTTTATGTTGGGACAGGGAAAGATCATAAAATGGAAATTCCCTAATGTGCACATAAGGTACCTTCCTCAAGTTTAAAATGTTATCACATTACTAAAAATATATCATTCACAAACACATGAGGCAAGTTTAATAATTAGAGATTATTTTAGATTTTCTGAAAATTAATTATGGACTGTAAACAATCAAGCCCTTTATAATACAACAACGGGATGATCTTAGATTTAAGTATTAGATACACAGTAGCATTAAATACTTAATTAAATGAAAATAAAAAGTTTTTATTAATTTTTTTATGTTATTTGTTTTTTAGTTCAATACTATTCATATGCTTTTAATTTAAACAAATTAATAATATATTATATTTTTAATTTCTATTAAATAATTTGAATATAAGTGGCATAATTTGAGTAAATAAAAAATTAACAAAATTAATTTAAAGTAATGATCTACTATGGATCTATCCTTAAGAAAAAATTTAAAAGAACACAAGTTGTGGTATGATTCATTCAAGTGTAAATTTTCCCTGACTAGTTAACTACTGAAACAGGAAATGATAACCCATAGATGCTACAAGTTCCATCCCTATGTAACTAGTAGATGGTTCTAGATAAAAAGATCTACAAGAACCTCTCACATATCTAGGTGGCCCACAGAACAGTGATCTCTTTCCTATTCACATTAGACCTTAAACCAAGGTGAGTTACCTTTATTTCTTTTGAGTTTAGGACCGTTTGAAAATATACACAAAGTAGTCAGATACATGCACATTACTATATTACCTGGTACACTACATATTATATTGTACAGTAGTATAATAATAATAAAAGCTTAAGCTTTAATACAATTCCCCGTAATACTCTCCCCTGTGAAGGATACATAAGTTATTCTATATTTATTTATTTATTAATTAATGCTTATAGTACAAAATGTTCAACACATAAAGAGTGATTGAAAAGTGTACCAGACAGGCTCCCACCACCTCACCACTGTCCAGAAATCTCCATTCTCTAAGCTGCTTGTTTTCTTCTCTTAGCCTCATATTGGAGTACCCTCTTCAATTCCCTTCTAGTAAATTTCCCTTATACCCTCTGAATACTCATCATCATCCTCATTAATCATGGCTCTTGTGGTGTATTTTGTGCTTTTACTAGCCCTCACTGGTTATTCAAGTAAGCATCTAGATTTGCTTGTGTTTGTTTCAAATTTCATGTTTCCTAACATGTGGTTAAATGAGGCTTTTAATCATGCATCATACCTCACCCCTGAGATGGGTTCTCTTGATTTGTTTTTCTTGTTTTTATGTTTGGGTTATATGCAAAAGCTTAAGATGCTAAAATACTAAAATGGATTTTGTTCAATGAGTCTTTTTTTTTTTCCCTTTCTATTTTTGTTCTGTTTTTACTTCAAGCGGATTTAAAATTCCAGGACAAGTTAATGCATCTCATTTCGAAGAAAAGATGGGATTTTGTGTGGACTAACTTTTTTTTTTCTTCAAAAAGGTGCTCTTTACTGTGTGTGTAAAGATGGTGTGGGTGATCAAGCTCTTCAGAAAGCAATAGATTTTGCTTGCGGTGCTGGAGCTGATTGTACCCCTATTTTGCAAAATGGAGCATGTTTCCAACCTAACAGTGTGAAGGATCACTGCAACTATGCTGTTAATAGCTATTTCCAGAGAAAGGGTCAAGTTCAAGGAAGTTGTGATTTTGCTGGTGCTGCCATCCCTAGTCAAACTCCACCTAGTATGTAGTATCTTGTAGTTTTTAGCCACCTTCAAAATTTTTTTGGACATTCTTGTTCAAATTCACCTTTACTAACGTTTTTTCCTCTTTCTGATCTACAGCTTCAGCATCTTCATGTGTTTACCCCTCAAGTCCTGGGTATGTTTCTTGCTGTTTTGGTTATTTTTTACACATCTATGGCTTAAATCTCTGAAATTCAAGGAAATTTTCACCTGTTCTTTTTAAACCCATTTTCCATTTTCAGAATATAAAGTGGATCTTTTCCATATTTTTAAGTTAGCTTTTCATGAAACTGATTGCTTACTTTTCTTTGATGTGCTTAGAAGAAGGGTAGATAGATTTGGCTTTGATTTTATCATTGGCAAGAGTAAACCCATTAAAACCGGTTTATTTTGTAGTGGTGAACATACATTCCAATTCATTCGTTGTAAATGCTTTTGTTTTTTTCTTAATTTATTATTTTTGCAAAACATGCTTTCAGGCTCCACTTCACATTACCCAAAAGGTCCTTTTTATTTTGGGTTAATTTATCCACCGCCCTGAACTAGATTTACTCACAATCCAATCCATGACATCATGATTACTCTTTTGAAAAATTAGCTGTCAAGATTATGATGTTTCGCAATTATTTTTGTCCTATTTATCCCCAGATGTTTGATTCTAGATCTGTAATCATACAATACTTAATAAAATCATTTTTATTCTTAGCTCAAAATCATATTTATTTATCATTGACAAAATACTTACAAGTGCATCAAAAAAGCAAAAAACTGTGACTTGTTTTTCTAATTTGTAGTACATCTTAATATTTTTTTTTTTAATTTTAATTCTTTAATCAGTACTGGGTAGCAAGATTGTATTATTAGTCTATGTGAAAATTGTGGACTAATTTGATATTTGGCTTGCAATTGCAGCAATGCAGGAACAGGCACAGCAACCCCAACAACCAATTCACCAGCAGGGACACCACCTTCAACCTTAACTCCAACAACTCCCACTGGCACTACACCAATTGGTACCACTCCAACTGGTACAACTCCAGGTACAACCACAGGCACAACCACAGGTAGTCCTAATGTGTTTGGTATCAGTCCCACATCTTCAACTGGCAATGGTGGCTTCAATGACTCAAGCAACGGAGTGGTTCCTTTGAAACACACTGCTATGATCCTATTATCCCTTGTGGTTACATTTTGGCTAGTGTTAAGGGTCTAATTGGTACAGTGCTAGGAAAAACCTGTGGTGGTTTGATGTGTGGATGAGATTTTGCCATGTCATGATGGGTGTTCATGTAATTTCATCACTGGGAATCATCCAGAAGCAAGCCCCACCTTGGACTCATGTTTTTGGTTTTGTTCTGTTCCTCCTATGTGCCAGAAAAAAAAAAGGTAGGGAATTTGGTTCCTTTTCAGTGGTGAATATATTTGATATATGACTACTAAGGAAGTAGAACCTCTGATCAGTTTCCATTTGTATATTACTATCATTATGAGAGGCACTATTTTTTAATTTGAATGAGCCTTCCGACCTCATATCTTCTGTTTAATCCATTACCCCATACTTAATATTTGTCGTTAATAAATATAGCATGTTATGCATTTAAGCCATTAGTTAAAAAATTGAAAGTGATTTTACTTTTTAGAAATTATGTTGGATTTTATTAAAAATTATGCACGAGGTGCTTTTATTATACGTTTAATAAAAATTTAAGTTCCTTAAAGATGTTAATTAGTATTTCATTTAAATTATTAATGATATAAACTTGTATGTATATCTAATTCATCTGATGAATTATTTTTTCTGGTGGATTGCATTGATTAACGTCGTTTTCAGCAACCGACTTTACGTAAGTTTATATTCCTATGTTTAATCAATTGTTAATCCGCGAGTTGGTTCGTCGTTTTCCATTCGACACCGATGACGTGGCATTAATATCAGCTACGACCTGTTTTTATGCATCAGCAAGTTTAATTACACTAGTACGCACATTTTCCTCCAATTAAATTTTTTTCTTTAGTATGGTTTTGGGCATATATTATAGTCAGAAATTAATTAGTATTTTTTATTAAAAATTATAATATATACTCTTTGAAAGTGTGTGGTTCACTTTATTTGTGCAAATTTTGAAAAGAAAATAAATCTAACGTTCGGTTTCATTTTCCGAGTTTTACGCTAAACGACTAAACATGCATTCTTCTGCCACATTTTCATGGTACTGCTAATGTGCCTCCAACAGACCAAATGCGTATACATGAAAAGTTAAGCGAAGGTTTCAAAGTTCTCCTTATCACTTGCTACGAACAATGAGATAATTTGATATTTCCCTTTTTTTTAATAAGTTTTTTTAATATGTTCTTGATAAGATCTTTAATAAAATTTAAAGTTACTAATTATCTTTTATAAATATTGAATATTTTAACGTTTTACCATTTAATATTATAATAAAAATTAACTTTAAATAAAAATAAATTTGAAATATAAATAATCATTTTAAAAAAGATTAATGGATTAACTTATTTTCTTTCCCTTGTGAGTAATATCCATTCCTAATGGAATAGGCCAATTTTTCTTACGTTTTTGTTCGAATGATGTAATGAAATAGGAAGGAAAGAAATTACAAAAAAAAAAAAAAAACAGAAACCGGGTGATAAATAATAAGATATTATTTAAATAAGTAAAAATTAAAGAAAAACTTTCTCTTTAGAATTATAACGAATAAAAATATTTTTATATTTTAAATTTATTTTTAATAAAATATTGATATTCAGTAAAAAAAATTTAAAAAATTATTTATTTAAATGAATAAAAAATAAAGATTTTGTGCAATAAATTGTTTTATCCTGATAAAAAAAAATAAAAAAAATGGCCTGCTTACCCCCCATCGCTGTCACATTCAACGTCAATAATTGTGGAACCTGCTATACAAATTTTTCTCACTAGGCTCACAAATCATTCATATGAGAGAATATGTATTATAAAAATATTTTAAAAGAAATATATTTAATATAAACTCAAAATAAATTGTGAAATTTTATTTGAAAAGGTAAAGCATCCAAAGCAAAGATGAGAGAAAACTTTAAACTCAATTTAACAACCAATACAAAGTATGATAAAAATGTATTAAATGTTAATAAAATATTTAATTTTATTAAGTATTATTTTTTAGAAGTGATTTGTAATGTTTTTAAAAAATTTAATTATATATGTAAATTGTAATGGGTTAGAGTATCTTTTATACTCTAAATTTATTCTTAATTTTAATAAAATATTAATATTTAGAAAAAAAAAAGTATGATAAAAGGATTAAAAAAAAAAAAAAACCACAATTGATCCAATTTTTACCTTCGTATACTTTCTTACCTCAAAAAAACATGAAAAACTAGCTATTTGAAATATAATGTTACGAAGTTACTGATAATTTTATATTCGCTGGGATTAAATTGTTTTAAGAGTAAATCTTATTTAATAAAGATTAAATTTTGTTATTCTAACTATAAAATAAAATAAAAAATGTCTCAGCTATGTTAAGTTTACCATAATTCATACAAACACAAAATTAACGCTTCATCAAACAAATTTGTATTAATATATAATGTATGTTTCTTAAAATACAAGTAAATATTAAATTAAAAATTACATGTTTATGTGATTTATTTATATATATCAATATACATGATTAACATGTTAACATCATATTGTTTATTGATAAAATTTAAAATTTATAAAAAATATTAAATAAATTAACATTAATGCTAGATACTCACAGAGTAACTTGATCTCTACTCTTTTATATTATATTATCAAACATTTCATATATTGTACAAGTATTTTTAATTTAAATAAAAATTTAATATATATAAATTGTCTAATAAAAAATTAAGATGGATAATTAATTAACATAAATAGACAAAAATATAAATAAGTTTGAAATTAAATTAAAAGTATAAGTGGTTGACATTTGAGATAAAGTAAAATTTAAAAGTAAACTAATGAAATTAATTATTTTGACAAAGCTAAAAATTAGTAAAAGAAAAGTAAATATAAAGGTTTAAGTTAATAATTTGTACATTTTTAAAAATATAAAAACAAATAATTTTATAATTACACCTGTTAAAAAGCAAATGAATATAATAAGTTGTCTTCATACTTAAGAGTAAAGATTGTATTTAATTATACAAGAATAGATATTAAAATAATATTAAATAATATAATAAAGTATGTAAGCTGTAGGAGAGAGAGGGTAATGGAATAATATTTATGATTCAAAATATATGACCAACACACATTTCCAAAGTCCTAATATTCTGATGGCTTTACACGGTTAGGCATAAGAGATGCTTAATATCATACTAGGCGCCTCTCCCCTAGTCCAACTTTACCCCAAAGGCAACTTCACTCATATTATTACTATAGAATTTAATTTAAATATATTAATTAATTTTTTATACTATCACTTAAATCTAAATTGTTATATCAATAAAAATTATAAATTTATGTAATAATTAATATATAAATTATATTTATGATATATCTGAATTAATTAACAATATAAAAATCTTTATATTGATATTTCATCAAAATTAAACTCATTATTGTATCTTTTTGTTTTAATTTATCATTTTTGAATTTTTTTTTTATTTATCTGTTGTCAAATTAATAAGGTAAAATTAATATTTTTATCTTGAAGCTCTAAAGTTTATTATAAAAAGAGAAGAGAAAAGGAGTAAACGATTAAATTAATGATGTGATAGAAAAAAAAAACTAGTGTAAAAATATGTTGTAGAAATAATATATTGAATGAGGACCTTCAATTATCTAAAGTCAGATGCTGGCGCACTCATCGCGTCATGTAATTTAACGACATCCCAGCCAGAGAATAATTGAGTAAAAGGCTAACCAGCCTGACTCAACAGAAACTTTAATATTGTTCTGTCACTATCAACAATAATCATGTTAGCACCGTCACAAACACTCATGGATTGTTTTTGAGGGTTCTGGTTCTCTTCGATTAATTACCAAAAACGTGGCAAATTTTTGAGAAACTAAAAAAAATGTATGGACTAAAATCTTTTTGAGGCTTTAATTTCATTTGTTTTAGCCATCAGTTAAGGTAAAACTCATTCTTAACATTTAAAAGAAACGATCAGTATATAATATGAGAAAGGCTTGTGCATTAACGATATCATGCTACTGCAGCAACACTGTTTCTATCTACCTCTAAAACACTCCCTATTTAGCTCAATCAGCAGCTGGTTTACCAATTGCTAAACTTACCAGTTGCCTTCTTAGTTAGAGAAGGGGCAAAGTGGATGTTCAAACTTCATACATGTAAAACAGATTGATTTAATTTCTTAGCCTCTTTCTGCACAAATTCAACAATTAATTTGATAGTAGAATCTGGTCTTTCCAAATGAGGGAGATGCCCACAATTGGGTATTTGGCGAATAATTGCATCAGGTAATTCACAGTGTAGTTGCTGCAATAGTGAAAGTTCAAAAGTTAACTTCAGTAATAGTATTAGCACGGAATATGGTTCCCTTGCAGTCAGATAAAGTGAAACAAAGTAAGAGAGAATTATGCTCCCTGAAAATGACTTTCCAGCGTGTCAAATAATTCTCACAAATTTCTTGCTAATCACATGCTATGCTATAAAAAAACAGAGATAAGATGGTAACTAACCACTGCAAACTTATTGCTGATGATGCGGTCATTTTCACCCCATACTATCAGTGTTTTTTGCTTTACCTGTTAACAAATTCAAAACATCTAATTAAGAAGGAAATCAAGCTTATAAAACAACAATGGAGTCTAAGGCGCGCCTTATCCATACAAATATGACTCAAAATGTGGACTGGAGGAAATCAAACATTCTTGCTCAAGATGAATGGATTCTAACAGTTGTGCATATATGGATGGATCCAATCATCCAGTGGATTTCTCAAGAACACAAGTGTGCTTTCCTAAATTAACTAACTCGTCATTATTTAGCATTCTTTATGCAAACATCTGTTTCTATCCTGAATTAAAGACATACTTTTAATTGTTTTCCTAGAGAGAAAAAAAAGGTTATGTTTTAAGCTTGGTTTTGTGTGAGGGCAAGTTGAATTATGTGTATGTCAGTATGTATAGAACCTATCATGCAAGCAATTTTCAACAATGATAAAAGAAAATAATGAAGACAGCCTTCCAAATGACCTAGTGTATGTAGCATTTCAATCCAACAAAGTTTCAAATATTATTGAACACGGAGAAATATGCCTTACTGTCATTATCTAATAATTCATCATAAAACTCAATATTGTGTTTATAAAATTCATCATTTGCATTTTCCTTACAATATATAAACATAAAGATAAAAAAATAGTGGTCATGTGTAGACTTTTAGCCCCATGCTTAAAAAGTAAGCATTTCGATTTTATTATGAAAAAACAAAAAAAGATAGAAAAATTGACTCATTCTAGGAGATTAAAGAATTAATTACGGTACAACTTGGTACAAATTGAAGACAGCAGACTGTTTGTAAATATGATGTCTGTGATTACATAAAAATACGCTTGTTTTTCAGAAAGCCAACAACGACAAGTGAGCAACAAGTGCACGACTTATAGAAAACTAAAATTTAAGATTGACCGTATAGCAGTTCAGAATAAAAGGATTAGATGAATGGTCATTGTATCTCATGGAAAAAACAGGTGTATAAATATTCATGTTTCAAAGTATTCATCTATTTTAAGGGTTTCTTTAGGGGTTGTTTGAAAATGAGAGTTTTAGAGAAAAGGGGAAACGAGTACAATTTTTTTATTATTTAAAATTGATATTTTAATCATATATTTAAATAATATTTAATTCTCTTAACTTAAAATTAAAAAAAGAATGTCATTTCTTTTCCTTTTCCTTCAAAAGCCCTCTCACAAACATATCCATACCCACTAGATAAGATCGAGTACATGGGTCACACAATGTCATTGATCTTAGTAAAAAATCAAATTGTCATAAATATTATTTATCATTGGATCTCTTTTAATAGTTTTTTCTAGGTTTCCAGATTCCACCTCTATCTTTTTTTTTTGAATTAAAAGTTATGTCATCCACTCTTTTCAACAATGCCTCTAGTGGTCTTCTTTATACATGACTAAACTACCATAAATGATTTCTTGTCATCTAGATGTAAAAATAACATAACAAATACAGCACTCATCAACAACTTGTAATGTGTATATACCTTTCCTATTAGGGAGGCAACATTGTAACCACCACTAGTCATAAAATCCACAGTAGCATCATCCCACCAAGGCAATAAACAATGCAAGCGGCCCACCTATACAGATGATATGAAGATTGGGTAAGCACTCCACATTCTTGCAACATTAAAAATCACTAAGTATGAGACGCCAACTGTATGAGGGGACTTCTACATATATCCTAGGGCAGACGATGCTTAGGCAGGACATGCCACTAAATGGATATATGCCTATATCCAATAAGAAATGACTGAGATTCAAACATGTAATTCCTGTGAGATACTTCCAAAACATGAAATGTCATCTTGCATTTGAATCGAGAAGTTGTCTTGATTTATTCAAATTGAAGAGTTATTTACTTATGTTGCTTTATTCAAGTTGAAGAGTTGTCTTAATTCAATCTAATGGTTATAAAGTCTAGTACTAGTTATAAACATAAATTGAATCAAGCAATATGTTCTTACATGAAGTAGAATGAGGTGACTATTAATGAAAGACACAAATTAGAATAACATGACTCCTCATGAAGGACATAAGTTAGAATAAAGTGTATGACATGGGCACTGCTTGGAATGATATGATTCTTTACAGAATACTCCAATTGAATTGATGTAACCCTTCATGATAAGACACAAATAAGGCCATTGTCCGCGCACTAGACTCACTTAATTAACACTTATAAATTCATTTGCCCTTACCTTTAAGTACGCAAAAAAAAAAAAAAAAAAAGATCATTTTATAGACACCATTATTGTCTATGCTTGAGTTATGGGAGTGCAAGCCATACTCAAGAATCTTTATTGTATCATCAAAGAAAATTGTCATGGACTCAAGTTACATCGAAGGTTTTGGAATTGGTGGGGTGAATTAAGCATAAAGAAACGTGTTTATTCACAGCTTGATGACATTGTGGACAAATTTCCTTCTTATCTCTTCTTCTATACCCTTCAAAGATCTATTCCTACCAACAATTTGGTATAGGTACTTTTCCACTTATTTTTCTTGGGTTCTTGCACATTGTGATCGCATAATATAATATGAAATCTCAGGTTCTTGAAGGTGACAAGTGTTACAATAAAGATTGATTTGTTAGGATTTTTAGCTATCCTATAAACAACCTAGCATGAAGTGCTTGACTATGTGATGCTGAGTTATCCAAGAGTGCATGTGCCACATGGTCCATTATGAAGCCAAAATTGCATAAAAAAGATGTGAACACCATGTTATACAAATAGAATAATGATTTTAGAATCACGCAACTCACATTAGTCCAATCAATGCTGGTGCTGAAGGAAATGTTAGTGAAGGTCAAATGGGTAGCATATAAGCGTAATGGAATGCTCTTCAATAGATATACCTGATTCAAACAAGTGTCAATGGTGAGTTGTAACTTGCATTATTGAAGTTCTCAACATCCTCATCATCTCATTCTTATATGCCCATAACAGCAGTAGAAAATTATAGTGAAAAGATGTAAACAAAAAAAAAAATTCATGCCATTTTCAGAAATTAAATGTCATATTAAGAAATTCTATACTTAAAGATATCATAAACACCAAAAAAGAAAAACAAGCAGAAAAATTCTATTGACTTAAGAGGGTTTATGAATATTTAGAAACAATTTTATAAATAATTGAATACACAAATGAACTTATTCAGCAGGAAAAACATTGGATAGATGGAGATGGTGTAATTTTCTTGATAATTGGCAGTAATATATGCATTAGGTTATGGTAAGTTGGAAAGATATTCACCCCAGCATAGGCTATCGCTCTAGGCAAGGTTGCTAGCTTTCCAGTTCCCTCTGCATATACACTGGCACCGATCAGAACTAGTTTTTCCACCTGAAAAGATGAACTGCAAATAAATGACCACAGCACACCAGAGTCATTTGATGAATTTTTTTGCTTGGTGGTGGATATTTAGAAGTTAAGTTATTGGGCAGGACATACAGCTTCAGGATAATTGACCGCAAAGTCAATTGCAACAGCAGAGCCAAGGCTTGGTCCAATCAATATCATTGGCCTTCTGATGTAGGACTTCCAAAACTGTTACAGATAAACCAATTCAGCCTGGAACAATTGGAAAGAAATCATAACAGATGTGCAAAGGAACTAATTAATAATCAGTGAGCACGGCCATTTCATCAGAAGATAATTGATGAACAAGTCAAAGCCAATACTTTACCTGATTTGTTACTCCAATTCACACAGTTCAATAAATAAGCTACACAATTAACTAAGTGAAGTAGATTTTTCAGCATTACATACCATCTCATAGAATGGCAGAGGCAAATAGAGCTTTTGCACATTTTTGTTAATCCATGAACAGGATCCATATAGACACATAGAAAAAGAATCGATTCAATACATTTCTTATGTAACCAGGGATGCTATATTGGATTTGAATCAGATTTCGGATCAATCTTTATTGGTCCTACCTCCTCTTTTTTATGAAGAGAATGAATCTTTTTATCGAAGGATCATAAAAAAATGGGTCTAGACCTCTTGTGGGAATGATTTAGAGGATCCATGGATCCATACATCTCGATCGAAAAAGAATCGGAATTGATCAATATATCTCTCAAAACACATAAGGGTCATATTTCAAGGACTTTTCAGGCTTGATTAAAACTTGCCAACTAAGAAATTCAACAAATACATTATAACATCAATATATAAGTACCTGATAGAAGTGATCACGCTTTGATACCATATCACAGGGAGGAAGTTTTTCTGACGTATAAAAGAAGAAAAAGAGAGGAATGCATGTTAAAAATTTCATGAACGAACCAGGGAAAGGAATAAGATAAACATCCAATAGGCAAAGTAACAAAACAAACCTAAATCAGAGAAACCCCAACCAAGAATGTCAATGGCCCAGGTCTCAAAACCAGATTCCTCAAGCAATGGTAATACATATCTCCATTCTAAACATGAGCTGAATAATAATGCAACATGAAATTCAACGGTAACTAATGCTCAAAATGTATAAACTCAAAAGCATATTTTGAGCACCTGTCAAAACCATGTAGAAGAACAACTGGGGTTTCCTTTCTCTGCACCAGTGGCTTCACACAACTACTCATGATGGGATTTTCTGAGAACCTAACCTAATTGAGTCATATGGAATTGATTAGGTATTTATAAATTATAAGCAGCAAGAAATTATTTTAAGGTGGCCCTAGGCTTTGCATTGTACAGACTATGAAAGTGAGTTAGATTTTAGTCAGTCCGAGAAAAATCTACATCCACAGGGGTAGGAATTAGGACTAGCAGCATAATTTTACCAAAATTATTGAACAACTATGCATAAACCACACAGATGCAATTAAGAGATCCTAGCAAGTGAAATGAACATTTTTTTCCATTGGAAAATATTTTTGTTAATTGTGTATAATAACACCACTTAACCATGGTATCATAGTCGAACCAACAACAGCTTACTATAAGTTATGGAAAAAAAAGACACATTCTAGAGGCACAAAATTTTGTCAATCTTAGCTTCTTTAAGTTTGGCTATGAACTCGGGAGAACTGGGTCAAAGGGCCCACAATAAATATTAATTTTAAACATAAAATATTTAGAGGACCATAGCACAGTAATTGCCAACAAAACATTTATGACCAAAGCCCAATATTCTGTCCCACTGATAAATTCAACCAATCTTCAGGTCTCCAAATCTAAAGCAAATCTCACATCCAAAATTAAAGCCCAATTATACCCTAACCGTATATGTTTAAACAAAAATGTCTTTCAACATTTCCATCGTTTATAAAAGTATAAGATAACGAAATGCACAAGAAATTAGGTTTGCCAGCGAAGATTAATTTCCCAAAAATGTAATAGTATTTTAAAGTAAATAAATAAAAACAGTTAATTTGAACGAAATTATAAAATAATTCTAACTTATTTCAAAACAGATATAAATATACTTCTATTTATGAACTTTACTATATACATCATATTGAACAAAAGCAACAAGAGCTAATGAATAAGAGATTTAGCTCGTTTTAAGCAAGGAAAAATATTTTTTTATAATCAATATTTATTTTATCTAAATATCAAATTGAAAACATTCACACCTATTAAGGTTTTGAAATATATGTATAATAACATAGTGTGATATTATTAAAACCGCTAAAACTAGTCCATTGCATTACAATGTTAACACAAATGACAGAAGAAGAAAAAAGGAATGATAAAAAAGAGTATATACAGGGACGGGTATCCTCTGAATCCGCATGGCAAGTTTTCGAGCAGAGGGGTCTCGAATAGTGTGAACTTCCCTGGGAAGAAAGGAAGGGAAAGCCTCGGCGACAACCTGGAATGGCTTGGGTTTGACGGAACCGAGGGACGGAGAAAGAAGCATGTTGATGTGGTAATGAATGAATGATGAATGGTAAGAGCAGAGGGAGTAGAAAAGCAACAGAGAAAAAAAGAGAGAGAGAGAGAGAGAGAGAGAGAGAGAGAGAGGTGTGAGTGTCAGAAATCACATAACAGTATCGTCATGCATATGCATCCATATATAGAGAGAAAGGTTGGGGTGTGGAGGGGTGTGCTCAACGCACTGTTCTAGCAGGTTGGGTTCATGTGCGTTTTAAGAACTTCTCTCACTCGCGTCTTCTGCTGCGCGTGGGCTATACCTTCCTTATTCTGCTCAGTGCTCACATCACACTATTCATAGTAGCTATTCAACATTTAATACACACATTAGTTCCTTCTTCATTCACCCTACCTGCTCTTAGTCCATCCAGTAACTCGTTCTTATCATTTTTATTTTAATACATATTTTTTTATTTAAAGTTGTCTTTTAAATTGTGAAAATACAAAATTATATATCTTAATTATTTTATATTTAATGGTATTAATATATTAAATTATATTATTTTTAACAAAAATATTACTATACATAAATTCTTATCATATATAATATTGTAGAGATTAATCAAAATATTGATTAATAAAAAATCTTGTAAATGGATCATGATTGTCTCTCGTAAAAGTGCGAACAGAATGGTATAATTACGTTTAATTTTATATTTTTGCTTAAGAAAAATACAAATCAAGCGTAACTGGACGTCTAGTTACGAGAAAAAATCTAAATTCTTTACAAATTTGCATGTAAACCTGTTTAGCCCATGAATTGTATGGTTAAATCCTTATAAGATAGCGATTAATTGGGTAAATTGATCTTTAAAATTTTAAATTAAATTTATTAATCATAAATTTTGTTAAATATTGAGCATTCTAATCTATTTAACATTTTTTGTTATAACATTCGTAAATCTTTTGTGGTTAAGACAAGACAACTCTCTTTCACACATAGATCACGATTGCAAGAATTAATATGGAAGTTTACTAGATTTTCTTTCTCTCTCTGTTACTGTAGTCCTCTTCTTTGAAGTTGTTTTTTTCATCGTTGTTACTTATAAAGTCATTTCTATTTAATGAAAGATCAATTATTGCCACAGCAGCATCGCAACCACCATTCTTAACCCAATCGTACTCTTATTTTAGATTCACAAAACCACACTTTAAAACATCAAATTTAAAGTTAGTCCTTAAAACTAGATCTCGCTATAATCTGCATATTTTCCTACAGCCATATTTCTATCTATGTAAATTGATAATTTGAAGAGAAAACCCTAATCCCCTTTTTGCAGCAAACAATTTTTATAAATAAAACCCTAAACCCAAAATACAAAGAATGTGCAAGATTTCAAAATTGAAGATCACAAGTAATATCTTATGGCAATTAGAGGGAAAATAGAGAGGTCGGGGCAAAGAAATTTATTAAAAGATTTAAAATATAATAATATTTATTAAAAGAAAAAAGTCATTTAAAAATAAAAATATTTTAATATCTGTGGAGGTAGTCGTAGCTTCTATAAACAGGGAGAAAAGTTAACGTCGTGAGTGAGTAACGGAGAATAGAAAAGGACAAGGACAAGGACTGAGTGATTTCAGCAAACGTGTAAATAAGGAAGTCCTTACCATCCATTTTTGTACATAAAAAGTTACCTCCCAAATTAGGCATCTCAGGGTGGGTCTCACTCTCCTGCAGATTCAACTTTTAATTTCCTCACAAGTTAGTCCCAAAAGTCAATGTCAGCAGTTAATGCCAACATCACAAAATTAAATAATACTATTATTTGTAATATTTTTAATATTAATTTAATAAATAATTTGAATAAAGTTGAACTATGATTCTTTGAATATCTTTTAATTAATATTAAAGTATTATTTCATTAATTATTCAAAAATTTAGTATTGTGTTTATTCTCAATTTAAATGTCATATATTTCCACATCCCTATTTCTCCTGAAACAAAAAAGGGCACAAACATTAGGAGGATAATTGTCAACTTTGTATCCTCCCAAGTATAGCACATAGTGTGCACCTGATCAAGTAACACTTGAAACTAGTTGAACCAACCACGCCACCTTTACTATCACATTTCATTTCTCTTCATAAAATTAATTCTATATTTGTTACATTTATGAGCAAGACAGATAAAAGTAAACTATTTTGGTACAATCGAGCCGTGTACTACTTCAACTCTCTTTAATATATGAGGGTTGCACGGAAACACAAGTTTTTGGAAGAAAAATGGATAAGAACAAATTTTTATTTTAAATAAATACATTTAAAATTAATAAATTAATATAAATTTGTTATATTTATGTATTTATTATTATAAATAATATATAATTTTTTAAATTTAAAATTAAACATATATATATATATATATATATATATTTATCATCTTCTTAACCTTTCTTAATTTTTTTTATTTTTACTATACCGTGTTTTATAATAAATTAATTTTTAAAAGAGTTATCTTATAACATTAAGGAAAACAAATCATTATTTCTCTACTACATGTTGAAACAGCCCATTAACTCTCTATTTGGAATGGAAAAAACAAAGAGAAAAAAATTAATTAAAAATGAAAAATTAATTTTAGCTTTTAAATATTATGTGTTTCTCTTTTTCATTTAAACACAAAATTTGAAAAATTATTATTTTTAGACTATACTTTTAACTTTTGAAACAGCATATTTTTATTAGTGAAAAAATAAAATAAAAAATGTGAGCATAAAATATTTAGAAAGTTAAGTTATTTATAGTTTAAGATTTAAAGATAGTTATTTAGTGTTAGTGACAAAAAAATAAAATTTTAAATACAAAAATATAGAGATAAAAGTAAAAAAAATTCGTATCACATATACAGATGAAGAAGTGAGAAAAAAGATAAAATAATGGAGTTAGATTTTTTAAAAAATATATCTATTTGAAACTTTTGCAAAGGTTAAAAAAATAAAATGAAAAAATAATTTAGAAGACAAAATAAAAATCTACCTTAAAAAGTAAAAAAATGAAAATACTAATTTTATTTATTAAATATATAAAATTATTTTATATTTATTTTAAAATAATTTAACACAATCTTTGTGGGCACACTTGTAATTAATTACAAAATTAGTATTAAATTTGATATTTATTTACATTTGTAACAATTTTCTGTTGATTAATTGTTCTTTAAGTTGAATCATGTGATATAGAATCATAGATGTTTGATGAACACTATTCGTTGATGAGATGCTTACTGCTTCATGCCGAGATTAAGTTTCACAGAAAGAAAAAATTAACAGTAAATATACTGAAGATATTAGTATAGACATATCTGAAGTTACTTCTACTTACGAAAGAACTTGATGAAACTCATTACATTGATTAACTAATTAATTAACAAAAGCAACTTCACGTAAATTCAGTTACGAACTGGCATTGCAGCATAACTAACTAACGAACTTAGAAGACCGTTAAAGAGTTAGTTATTTATGAAGCTGAGATATATTATATATAGGCTACAGTGAAGGCAATTTCTACAGAGACACTGATCAGCTTTCAATATTTGTTTCTTCTTCTGAATCGTTTTCTGAAGAATAGCTATGGAGGATCAAGAAGTACCCTCTCTTCCTCCGCCGCAAAATAATAATGAAATTCCACCCCAAGACCAAGCTGTGCCGCAAGTCCAGCAACTGCAACCGGCCGTATTGGAACCTGCGCCTGAACCTGAACCTGAACCTCAAAACCAACCCGAACCCGAACCCGAACCCGAAGTAGTTCCCTGGTATTGGTGGTGGTGGGGGCATGTACCAAATGACGATGAATACGAGGAAATTAAATACAACTTTAAACATATCGGTATCATCACGGGCATGATGATTCACTTGATCTACTGCGTTCAGGTAATTACCTTCTCTGTTGCGCTCATCTTTCTTTCCAATTAATCTTCATTTATCTGTTAAGCCACATTGCCTCAAGTTTCTTCGATGAACACACTCTTTAATATGGTAGCAGAGTTGTGTTGTAGGGATTTTATTGTGTAAGAATATTGTAACAATTTGATTAATTTAATATTTTTTTCTTGTGTAAGATTTTTTTTTAATTTTTTGTTAATTTTAAATTAGTTTTATTCGTTATTATAGTTTTATTATAGGATATAACTTTTTACTCATGGAAATACGTTAGAATTTATTCTACTCAAACCCTGAAACTAATTAAAACATGAGATATTTATTTTTATCTGCAGAATAATAAACCATTAGTACCAGCAGCTGTTGAAGCTATCGTCGTAGTCCCCGAAGGTTATGTGGGGTTATTATGGAGAACTGGTTTCCTTCAGAAGCCTCTTCTTGGTCCAGGTATACGAATGTGCTCCTTTATTGTTGTTTTTTTTTAATTAATTAATGCACTAAGTTAATTTGTTTTGTGTTCTTAATTGGTATTGATTTTTCCAGGTATTCATGTAAAGATTCCTCTCCTAGAATATTCTGAACTGGTTAGAGTGATACCCAAGACAAATAAGGTAAACTGATTAGAACAATTGTGGGAATTGATTAGTTGGTGTTTGGCGCAGGATTAATTATTTGAATGAAACATGGTGTCTAATACAGGTCAGTGTACCGTGTAGTACTAAATGGGGTGTTATGATCAATTTTGAGGAGATAAAGGTAATAATAAATATGAATTTTACTAACTAGTGCTCAAATTTTATTTATTTTTCATACTACTTACTGTTCATATCGTTGATGTATATTCTTTAATTTTTTTAGGTTGTTAGCCAACTTCATGAGGAATATGTCTTCGAGACAGTGCTCAACCATGGTACGCGTTATTACTTGAAATGGATCAATGAGAATATTCAGGATAAGATGAATAAGTTCTGCAACGCTCACACTTTTCAGCAAGTCTATATTGACGAGTTTGATACGGTAAAGTTTTAACCAATTGCATTAGTTTGTTTGCTTGTTTTTTAAATCACATCCTAATGATACAAGGAACGTTTATGGTTCTTTCAGATACAAGAAAATATGAAAGAAGCTCTGCAAAGTGACTGCAATCGCCATGTTCCAGGAATCCAGATAATCAGTGTTAATATCACAAGGCCAACCATTCCAGATGGCGTAAGACTGTTACACGAACAGATGGAAGAGGAGCGTACGAAGGTACATTTTAACGAATCTGGATAGATGCAATGTTATGGTTGATGGGCTTTGCTGGGATTTGTGTCTTTCTGACTTTTGCAGAAGTTCTAGCATTGCAAGTTATATAGTATTGGATTTAGAATTAAGCACATGTAGTTTGGATGTTGTTGGGTAGGTTTTAATAGCTACGGAGCACCAAAAACTAGCCCTGAAGGAGGCAGAGACGAAGAATCAGCTGGCAGTTAGCGAGGCTGAGACGAATGCCACTGTGACGAAGATCCATATGGAACAGCAATTGATGGAAAAGGATGGGCTTAAACGCCAACAAGCAATTGAGAATGAAATGTACCTAGCACGTGAAATGAGCATGGCAGATGCACATTTGTACCGGGTAACAAGAGAATCTGAAGCAAACGCGATTAAGAGGAATGGCTCCCAATTGATGGAGGTCGTGCCTGGTACTAATAATACGTTTTTCTTCGGGGTTAGGGTTGCCAATATGGATCCAAGGATCTTTCATTGAATTCTTTGTTTTCACAAGTCAGATGACTCATCGTTGTAGCATTACCTCTGTTTTGCAAACATCCTTTTTTTCCTTCTTTTTATGAGAAGATTGTGTACATATAAATAAAACAGCAAGTTCCTATACCATCTCTCTCTCTCTCTCTTATCTCTACTTTTACGGCACACTGTTTTGAGATGAAACAAGTAATATAAATAATCTCTACTTCTACAATTGCCATCCGAATTTCTCAGTATTTTAGCCATTTTCAATTTTGCCATCATACATGTTACAACATTTTCACACTTCTACTTGATTGGATGGAAGAAAAATTAAAGGGAGAAGGAACAAATGAACGTAAAGCTTCAATTTTTTTCCTCTGTATTTTGGATTTTCTTTCTTCCCGTGTCTTGTTCCCTTCATCCAAACACACAACGTTAAAAACTTCATAATATTGTGTCCTGGACGAAAGTTGACCAAGTCAACCCTCGCCCCTAATTTTATTCTCTACTACTTTGAATGAAAAATAATGAATATTTTGTTGTTGTACTCGTTGAAATTTAACGACACAGCTTCTTTTCCCTTTTTTCCTGGTCACAGTACAAAAACCAATAACAATTAACATTACTGCCCTTAATAATCCTATTAGGTGAAAAAAAAACCCTCAATTAGAAAGTTCAAATATACACAAAAATCAATAGCAATAAAGATATAAGATTTCACTAACTTTCAATTCTGCTTCTGCCTTATTTCTGACTGACTCCAATGAAAAATGAGAATGCTTAATAAGTCATTTTAATGACTTGAAATATTTATGAGCAGCTGAATAATCACTGTTTCCCACGCCCTGATGATGCCAACCAACAGCACGGCAACAGCCACAAAAAAACATGAACATAAACCGTAGATTAATTACACAGAATTTTTTTTTATAGAAGTACTAAAACTACCCTTCTACTTCTCCCAAATAAGCCTTCAATGATTACTTGTTTATGTTTAGATTAATTACTTATGCTTTTGGTCATTTGTTGTTAAGCTGACAAGAACAAAGATTTGGTTTCTGACAAGTGCATCTGCCATGCAACGTTGATTAATGAAATGCTTGTTTAAAGTAATCATCCCATAAATATAAGTTATGGTCACGTGTAATAATAGGTATTAAAATCCAAGTGTCATAATAGGAGAGAAATTGGAATTTTAGTGAAATTATCTCCAAGAGGGGGAGTAAAAGCAACTTTGGTATTACTGCAAGTTTAAAAAAAACCCTGAAATTATATAATCATCATGAACAAAATGTAACAGTGTAAAAGAAAAATTAGACCAAAATTGAAGCCGCCAAAATCCATTCAGAACCAAAATTGCAATGAAAAATGGAAATTGTTCAATAATAGATAATCGTCATGAAATGCTCTAACGTGAAGAGAATCGTCTGTTAGTTTAAGGAAATCCAAACAAGATATTGACTTTTTGAACTCATAGGTATTAAAATTAAACCACCTGAGTGTGGTTAACTAATAGTTAGTTATCCAGCTGGCATTAGTTAGTTAGTTAGTTATTTCTGAAACTCGCGCGTATTATAAATTTACTGGAGTCAAGACATTGTCTACTGAAGTATCTATCATTATCAATATCATTTTTTTTTCTCTCCACCAAAACAAAAAAAACATTTTCAAACATTTTCAGACATTGTGTTAACAGACATGGATCCGGCGGAAGAACCACCGGCAGCGGTTGTTGATGACGGCAACGGCTTTGTCACTCTGATATTGGCGTTCTTCAGCTGTCTTGTAACCTTCTCGCTCCTCGTCGCCTTTGCCATTTTGCACATACTCCTTTTGAAGTCACGTAGTGATCCAGGTCTCTTTCTCAATATGTTCTTTCTTTCTTTCTTTCTTTTCTTTTTCAAAATTTCATTCTTTTTTTTTTTTATTTTCTTAATTGGTGTTAATTTTTTCAGGTGTTCATCTAAAGATGCCGGGCTTAAGACATTTTAAGCCTGTTCATGTGACCCTCAATATAGATCAGGTAAACTAATTAAAAGAAACTATAACTACTTTGGTGTTGTCCTTTTATTAAGACTGAACATGTTGATATTTATTAGCTAAAATTATTATGATAAAATTCTATTCTTAATTGAAGAATAAGAAAAAAAACTTGATATTGCATTTGAGTTCTGTATTTATAATAAGTGTCAGAATTAATTAATTAATGATTGTTTGTGGTCCTTTAAGATAGAAGAAATGATGCAAAATGCTCTTCAAAGTCATCACAACCGCCATGCTCCAAGCATCGAGACAATTAAGGTTCATCTCACAATGCCAAAAAGCATCAAAGTTATAGTGATAGTACCTGAGAAGGACGCAGGGATGAAGGAGATGGCTCTTAGACAGGCTAGTGGCAATGCCACTGTCAGCAAATTCCTCACTGAACACAAATTGTTGAGAAAGGATGCTATTATTAAACGTAGAAACGAAATTGATGATGAAATTCATCCACAAGAAATTGATAATGACTTTTACGCTATCTTCACATATCTCGACCGGTGAGAATTTTCTATTCCCTTGATGAATGAAAGTATATGAATATATTGTAAGTTATGTTGCTAAAATAGAGAATGATCAGTGGTATTGGTTTTGCAATTTCAAGACTAAGGAAAGCTGAAGCAAACAAGAGGAATAGCTCCAAATTTCTTGAACTTAAATTCATTGAGCCTAATACATCTAGTTTCTTTGAAAACAAGGTATTTCTTTTCTCCCACAATTAGTGCAACATTTTTCTGTCCTTCTGTGCAGGCTTGACCTTGTATTAACTTTTTTCTTGCAGGTTCAATATATGGATTTTGATCAAATGATATTCTGAAACTTCCATGCTGAAATCAGAAGTTTGAATTCTTAGTTTTGAGAAATTAGCTATATGACTCGTTGTTGTAGCATTACCACCACTCTATAGAGGAGTTATATCCATGTAGTCACTTGTTACACAACATGATGGAAACCTTTGTTTTTGCAAATATCCTTTAATTTTTCTTCTTACTTGTTCAGTTGATAACATTGGTGGTTGGTTTTGATATAAATAAAACAGGAAAGTTTCTATATGAGCATTATCCACGCTAGAGTTTAATTTCGCCCCTCGTTAAGGATAATACCCAAGTGGATTGATGATGTTTTCAACTGTCACAGTCAGAGTCAGAAGAAACGGATTTCTTCTTAATATTAATAACTTGTTAAAATCAAAAGCTCGCCTTGCATTACCATGTTATTTCTCACCATCCAAATTCTTCTTAATACTAAAGCCAAAATAAAGGGAATTTTCTGTCCCAAAAAAATATGTTTTGATATTTATACTCTTTGGTCTATGCCAGAGAAGGTTGAAATTTGAATTGATTAGGATGTCAAACATTGTTAGTAAAAGCATAGAGTATGAATATCGATAACAAAATAGAGCTTGAACAAACATTGGATAAATATTTCGTCACACAAATTTTCAGTCTGAAAGTGAAACTATACACAAAATAATAACAATAAAAATAAATAAACATTCTACAATAAATCTTCAATTCTGATCCTGCTTTATTTATTTTTTTACACCCTTTTTTTAATTGTTTGCTTGGTCTCTGATTGACACCAATGAACAATGGCAATACTTCTCCCCTTGAACTAGGGTGATGTTTTATTGAAGTGTGTGTAGTCCAATCAATCTTTGGCTTATGCTTCATAGTTCAATAAACAGCTTAATCAGTCATTTCAATGACTTGAAATATTTATGAATAGCTTGTCTTCAGCTGAGAGATCCCCTTTGCCCTGATGATGCTATTAGCACAGCAACAGCCACAATGAACATAAACAACATACTCCCTAGCAGTATGTATGTTCTTCTTGATGATTTCCGGTACTCCCCAAACAGAACAATGCCCCAAAAAGTGCTCACAAGCGGAAGTGCCTGTTTTAGCAACACATTCAAATGATGAAATGATTCAATAATTCATTATGACACACAAAAATCAGATATTGAGATAATTAGATGGTGTTTGGCTTGTTTTTTTAATCAGTTAATATGCTTTCATTTAGACCACGTTTTAATTTTACAATTGTGTTCACCTTAGTTCTTAAAAGTCAATTTTAACAAATACAAATGGTAAGCTTTTAATGAAAAATATAAGATTTATTACCCTTTCGTATTCTCATGATAATAAATGCTTTCTTTTTCATAAAAAAATTATCATTTTCAATTGTTTATCCTCACTTCTAAAGGCAGAAGTTAACATTTTCCTTAATCTTACTTAATGTTTACAAAATATCGTCAAGGAAACTTAAAAACAAAATTTTGTTGACTTTACCATTTCCTTTGAAAATTCTTTAAACTGGAAACAGATTAAAATAAAGTGATATTTTTGTAATTTCATCATAGCAAAGATATATCATGCTAAACGTTAAACAAATTTGAGAAAACATGGATCAATAAATGACAAGCATTATAATACACGAAGTAACAAGTATCACGTGTTATCATTTTGGCTGATTTTCAGACTAGTAATATGCCATTATGTCATAAAAAGAGCCTATTCCTTGCATGTTTTTTCATAGAAGAAATAAAACTAACCTGAACTGCATCTGCTGCTGCATATCCTGCAGCTTGGCCTCCCATAAATTGGAGGCCATTCCCAAACCCACAAAGGAAACCAGCCACCAAGGCCCAGCCTCTGCCATTCCAGTCCCCTAAATAAGCCTTCAATGATGACTTGGGTAAGTTTAAGACAGGGTAGTAAAGGAAGGTGATGTTTAGAACTATGGCAAGAACAAAACAAGAGACTGAAAAATAGAAGAAGGCCGTATAAACTGTCAAATGCGGAACCCCTTTTCTTAATGTATGCCACTGATCATTTGTTGATAAATTGAATGCTGGTGAGAACAAAGAGAAGCAAACTCCTGCAAAGAAAGTTATAGCCAATCCAATCAAAGTGCTCTTCCCAAAAACCTGCAGCAGAATTTAAGAGAGATATATATAATTAAGGCCTAGGATTTGGTTTCTGGCAAGTGTATGTGCAATACAAGGTTGTTAATAGAATGCTTCTCTAAAGCCATCATCCCATAATGAAGTAAATATATGACAAATTATAGTTACGTGCCTTAATAGCTCTTCTTTTCTCTAGCTCAATGAGAAAATCTACAGTTCCAGCTTGAAATTCGTCTGCAGCACTACTTCCACTCTCAAGATCCTTTGATTTAACTACAAGTATTTATATATTCAAAAGGTAAAATAAGTAAGGATGTTATCATATAAATCAATTGCACAAGGTGAACCTTATCAGATCTTCTTACCTGTATTTCCTTCTTTCAAAGAGTTCCTGGCAAAATAAATAAATGAGTAAAAACTCAGAGATTTAGTAACACACCGCCAAATTTAGATAGCAAAAGAAGACAACATTAAAATCAAGTAATATCAATGACGTTATAATGATACGGAAAGCCTTAAACAGCCGTATGCTAACATTCCTTCCTATGAAGAAGATATATGGAAGAGCAATAAGCAATCAAATCAGCAATCATCAAATTCAAAAGGCTAAGATACGGAGAGCAACCAAAATTTAAAACCAGCTTAAGTGCAGCAAACTTGTTGCTTATTATACTTCGACAATTGCCTTCATAAATTAAGCTGAAATACATAATAGCTTTGTAGGTTTCCAAACCACAGTCATTTCCTGGTTTTGTTTCCAAACTGAACCTAGACAAGGGAATCCACGCCTTCCCTTTTCAATGGCCGATAAGGATGAAACGAAACATCCAGGATAAAAAGGAAGTTGAAAATAATAATAGGGAATCAGTATGAGTCACTAAACATAAATTCAACGCCTATACCCAATTGTAATATCTCAATATAACTGTAAGCAAACAACACCTACCCAGTTCCATCTTTATAATCACTTGAGTAACTGTTGAGCTTGGCTTTATTATCAGCACTATTAGATGAATGAACAGCAGAACCTAGAACAACTGCAATCAAAAAGCAACCAACTCCTGGGAAAAGGATCTCAGCTTTATTGATTTTGTCATCCAAAAAGTAATTCAAGGTTGTGCCTGTTACAATTGGAACAAGATAGATGCAGCAAAATTCAGTACTAGAGCAAGCAGAAAATCATCACAAATGTCAAATTTTTTAGTGCATAGCCTATCTATACACAGCTCACATTCTTACGTTGCATGTTCATCCATGTCATTGAGTGTATATTTTCTCTAGCATTCATTTTATATATTTTTAATTTTTGTTTGTATAGTTATTTAATTATTTTGAAGTGGTTATGTCTGTGAGGTACCTATAACAACAGTTATACTTGCTGTGATCACTTCAGTAACAGACAGCCCAACAAAAGCCCATGCATATTGTGTGGACAGATTCCCAAGGCTAAGGACCACACCACCCGCCATTGCAAAAAGAACAGAAGGCCAATTATCCTGCACATAGTAACTTAAGCAGATTATTAAATCAATTGTAAGCAAAATAAATGCAACTACAGATGAAGTTCAAAGCTAAGCATGCTATTAACTGTATGTTTCAAAAGATAATTAAAATCAAACTCTACATATTTCTAGAATTTAAATGATTACAATGTTGAACAAAATACTCAAACCTTCCCTAGATTTTACTGAATGTTCCTCAGGTTACCTACATTTAAAAACCTACATATACTTGCCCTCTTGACATTTTGCCAAGGATGAGTGAGCACGTATCCAAATTAGAAGGAATACTTGTGGAAAATCAGGTACAAGCAAGGAAGGAGTCTGTTAAGACTTACCCTTTATTTGTAGATTTTTGTAAGGCGTATTTATTAAGAGACTCAAAGCCATTTGAGTTTATTGAACCATTACAATGTAACATCATTAAGAAAATATAATTCATAACCACATAAAATCACTTTACACCACCCAGAAGCCTCAAAGAAATTCATATTTCTATCTTCAAATATTATTCCACTTATAATTCCTATGTTCCTTTGGACATTCACACACAAAACTCGCAGCTTATATATGATAGAGACAGAGCATATAATACTTCAACATATCTAATTTTTCACACATGCCTTTGATTCCAATCATACTTTATTTCCTATGATGATGATAACTGCAGAATACAACGAATAGCCATACCTGAGCAAGTTGGGCTAAAAAGTTTGGCTCATTATGTGAGCTCTTGCCTATCTCACCAAATGTAAAAGCAATGATTAAAGCAGACAAGAAATTCGTGATTGAGTAATCAAGGTATGTATGCTGAGGAAGACGACCACGCCTTTCTAACAGAGTCAAAACAGCAGGCCATGTCCCCAAGAACAAAAGAGCCAAGAGCATGCATGCTATGGCACCCCCCTTGCTCTCCACCATGTACATTTTCAACCCAGTGCACAAAATGCTCTCAGAAAGTGAACTACTCAAGGAGCAAATACCAAAGAAATCCTGAAAGCAGAAATATACATATATGTATGTATCAAAATGATGAACTATTTATTACTAGAATTGTTGAATGTCACAAGCAATAAGGTCCTCATAAAAAATATCCACTCATATAAAAGAGGGAAGCAGAAATTCATGCAACATGATAAACTCAATTCAAACTTAAAGGAGGGGGTGAATCTCCAGCAACAGAAATCAAAATCCAAGTCAAAGGCAAAAGAGTGCTCATAAACAGCTCAAAAGTTATCTTTAATAATGAAAAAAAGTCAAATTGCATAGGGTTGAAAAAGAGAAGAATTATCTCCACCCAAGACAAAAAAAACTGCACATATACATAACATAAGCACATAGAGAAGAACTGAATACAGAAACTGATTATACATCATTGGATCCATCAATTGAAAGTCACTGCAAAACCTAAGTCAAATGATGATCTCATCTCCACTGATATGTTGAAAGGTATTGCCAGTTAAAGGAAAGTAAAAATTCAGTTTTTAATCATCAAGTACCCAAATGGGATAAGAAAAAGAAAAATCAAAAAGAGTAAAACAATAAGAATAAAAAAGAAGAAGCATAATCTCCACAAAGTCAAGCATTAAGGAACACAATGAGTGGCAGAGAACAGTGAAAAAGAAGGCAGCAACCTTGGAACCCATAGATCAGAAGCAACAGAAAGTCAGAAACTAAATTAAAAAAATGAAGTCTTTGTGGTAGCAAATCAATGAAAAGCTCAAACGAAGTATAAAAATCTACCCGGTTGCTAACAACTAAAAGCAAAGTGGGCCATATGACAGAGAAATGATTGATCCTTTGAAACACCAAATGAGCCAAATTCCTCGGAAAATTGTCTCAAATCACAAAAATAACTGTTGTGGGGTGATGAATCTATCTATGCTGATTAGCATAATTGGAAGTACTTGAACTAAGAACAATGAGGAAAATTGAACCCCAAAAACAAACAACGAAGAAAAAAAAGTGATTTGAAATGGGGTCCCAGTGACACTCCAAGGAGAAACTGTTACAATGATAGGGTGTTTGAATTATGAGTGCACTCCTTTGGAGGCAACGCTATGAATGAGAATGAGAATCTTGACAGCGGATTCCAACTCTCTAATTCCTAAAGTCAATTAATTCATTATTTTATGTTTTAATTGGATCATGATGAATATACTCTCATATTTCTTTTTGGATATTCTGCGTGTGACTCGTAACAAGCCATGTTACGATTATTAAGAAGATAATATCTCGTATTGTAAGATGCGGCAAATTATATTCACACTTTAAATTTAATAAAATCACTTTTTTTTTCTTTTCTTTTTATGCGAACTATTCTTAATTTATGTAATAATATAGCACTTCATATCATTTTTTAGTACAAAAACTATTTTTACTTTCTTATGCAATTATAGCAAAGTTAAAGTCAAAAAAAGGATAGCAATTATCTAAATCTTTTTATGAAAAATTTCGAACAAAAACAACTGTGTGGGGTATATGACACTTTGATTTCTATTTCTATTTTAATCAAGTAATCAAATTAGTACTTAAATAAAAGACAGGAAAGACACTTTGATTTCTAAAGAAATATTAATCATTTAAGCCCTGAGGAAATAAATATAAAACACATTTTGTAGGGCAACATCAAATGTCATTTATGCAAGTGAGTGGGATATATGATAGTGTTCAAAAGGTGATATAGACATCCCACCAAATTTGCTTTGGCTATGCAAAAGCATTGGCTGCAAAAGAGTGAGTTGTCATATTAGCAAAGTGTTTGATCTTTGGTGTGACATTCATTTTGCATCTCTCATGTAATTCCGACGATGAGTTTGAGGGAATTTTTGTTGAGAATGGGCCATTTCTATGAGGGAATACATTTTATTTTCATGCAGTCAAAAAATTTATCAGTCAATTATGTGTATTGGTAAGTTTGAATCTTTCTATTATATATTTATGAGTCAATCTTAGGATTTCACTATGATGCATTCTCTTTTGGCTTGCAAGTGCCATTCTCTTTTGATTAGACCCTATTTCCCATTTGTGTCTTGTATATATAGAGGAAAAAAATTGTATAAAAATCTAGTTAATTTATCATTAAATTAGTTCTTTAACAATCTAAAATAAAAATTAAAGTAGTGAAAAAATATTATTTAAAATATTAATTTAATAATAAATTTTTAAAAAACTTAATTCAATAACAAATTTATAGGAAGTCAGAGTGATACGGAATATTTAAAATGAATTTAATAACTAAAATTTTATAAGAAATAAAATAAATTTATTTGTTTCATTCTCTTATTTTATCTTACTAAACTCGTGAGAGATAAGTTTTTGAGAAAAAAGGATTTTTTATTTGTAATTAATATGTTATAATTAATATTTTTCATAAAAATTATAAAGTAATAAATTAACATAAATTTAATATGTCAATCTTTTGTTTATTTTATAAACATTATGTAACTCTTTAAATTTAAAATAAAATATTTATCCCCACTTTTTTTTTCCAATATTTTACTCCAAACATATCTTAAACCATTTAACCGAGGGTTTACCTGGTTGCATGTTGCATGGCTTATTCTCATGCATGAATATCTTGAGATATATATCGTATGGCTTTCATAGAGGTCTAAATGTTTGGGTAAATAATTTAATATTTATTTATTTTATATAAAATTTCATAACACGAAATTAATTACGATTTTTAAAAATTATTTTATTAAATTCTATTATTCATAAATATTTAAAAACAAATAAAAGTTCTTGACAAATCTTATAAATATTTTTATAAAACTTACATTGACAATAGATTCAAACGTTTTTCTCTTATGAAGCATTGTGTTCCTAGCAATTACAAGTATAATATGTTAGAGTAAGCATCATCATTTGAAAAACACTGCAAATAGGGGTAATTAGCAAGTAGGTGTGGGACCAATTTCTCCTCATTAAATAATATTAAACAATAAATTCACTATGTTTTCAGTCAAACAAAAACACAGTTTCAAGACTATACGTTAACCACAACTTTAGGATTGAGTATATATAAATATTTTTTATATAAAAAATGTGTGTATTTTATCAAAATTAAATATTTAATACATAAATAAAATCAGATGTAGCATATAATTTCTATGAGAAATAACTTTATCGAGCAAAATCGGGTGCCAAGCATGACCTGCCTAACAAAAATTCAAACCCTAGTTCATCGTTTTATGCAGACGATGTTTTAAGTAACACAGAACTCTGTAACGTGTAGTTTTGTGAAGTATATATTATACGATGAAAGTTCAAAAATGCAAAATGTATAACTCTATTTTCTGTCATTTTCCCGTCCCTCTCCCAGTTACGTGGATTCTACCCTCATTCATTTTCGTAATGAGGTCACTTTCAACAAACAAATATAAAACAACTACGTAAAGTTTTAGATGCTAATAAATTAACAGTTATGTTAATCTTAATTTTTAACAATAAGATTTAATTAAAACAATTTATTATATTAAACTAGACTTAAATAAGATTTAATTTAGTGACCATTTTAATATATTTACTATTATGAAGGAAATACTAACCTGGTGCCACTTGTGTATAAAAAAGGGTGTTTGTGGGGTAGAAAAAAAGGTAAACAAGTATATTGAACACTTGAAATGTTTTTGAAAATGTAAAACAGAGTGCATTAGAGTGCTTACTTGCGAGTTGCGACCACTCGAAATGACTGATGGAGTCACGTGTTGGTACATTTTTGACTCTCACACATATAATTCAAGATTTTTGAGACATGTTATATCCTCCTTGACTTGTTCATATATGAGTATGTAACGTAGTAATTATTTATTGTTAAACTTTTCCAAAATAATGAAATTATAAAAAAAAAAACATTTTAAGATTTAAGGACTTAAATAACTTATCTAAATAATAAAAAATTCAGTGTTAATAATAGCTTATTTAATATTTATTATTATTTTATAATTAAATAAGTATTCATAATTAATACTCCAAAAAATATTTAGGAAAGAAATCATTGTTATTTATTGTTTATAATAGATTAATATAATTCTTTACTATTAAAAATAATTAAAAAAATTTCTCTGAAAAATAAGAAGTCAACTAAAGAAGGGAAGGACAAGTTTAATATCTAATATAGACACAAGACAAAATCGAAAATAAATACTGTTCGAAGAAAAAAAAAAACTTTCGAGTTTGTCATACAATATTATATTAGTTTTTTTTTTTTTTTTAAATTGATCTCCAACTTAGACTTTTGAAGATTGAAAATGTTACTGTGTTAACTTGTTAAATATTTTGTGATCATATATATATATATGAGAGGTATAGCATAGCAGGTTGTGAAGTGGAAGTTGAGTTTGAATTTTCAATGTATCTGGTGGAGAGCAAAGGAGGGGCCATAGTGTGCATGTTGGTGTCCCTTTTGTTCTTGGGGACATGGCCTGCAGTGATGACTCTGTTAGAAAGGAGAGGTCGTCTTCCTCAGCACACTTACCTTGACTATACCCTCACCAATCTCTTTGCTGCTGTTATCATTGCTTTCACCTTTGGTGAGATTGGCAATAACCACCCTGACTTCTTATCTCAGCTTTCTCAGGTTGGTTTTTATATATATAGTTATTCTTTCTCAAGGGAGAAAGATTTTATATTTGAATGATATGAAGTTACTTTACCAAGGCACATGGGAGGTTCATCCTTGTTGCAACCCATCATTTAAGATAGTATTTTTAGATATGGGAGATCTTATAAACTAACATAAAGTCATAAATAAATTATATGTACTAGGTGTTGAAGTTGAATACTTCAAAGAACTAAGTAAAAGTTAGATTTGAAGCTTTCCTTTCTTAGTAACAAGATGTATATGTTGAAGGGAGCAGGATATAATTTGTTTTCTAATAATAACCATTAGGCAATGGAACTCTATAGCTAATCTTAGTAGGAGTGTGCATGGTAAAGATTATGTCTTTCTTTCTTCATTGTATCATATATTGTTAGTCAAGAACAGAATAGACGGGGATCTAAATATGTAAAAGTCATCATTATTCAGCATAGCAGTTGAAATTTATATATTAACTACTACTGTTTAAGAGTGGTTTATGAATGTGGTATGATATTGTTTGATGCAGGATAACTGGACTTCTGTTCTGTTTGCTATGGCGGGTGGTGTGGTCCTCAGTGTTGGAAATCTATCCACACAATATGCTTGGGCTTTTGTTGGTTTATCAGTTGTAGAAGTGATCACATCAAGCATAACAGTTGTTATAGGTATCCCACTATCATACCCCTCTAAGATGCCAGTGCTAGCAACATGCAAATATAGAAGTTTCAATATGTGCAATGATTTATAGCTTGCTATGGACCTCTGGTATTGAATGTCATTGCACTGTTTCTTTTCTGATTGTAACAGGAACAACCTTGAATTACTTTTTGGATGACAAAATCAATAAAGCTGAGATTCTTTTCCCAGGAGTTGGTTGCTTTTTGATTGCAGTTTGTCTAGGTTCTGCTGTTCATTCATCTAATACTGCTGATAATAAGGCCAAGCTCAATGATTTTTCAAGCAATCACAAAAATGCAACTCAGTATGTGTTGATTGTTTACAGCTATTTTGGAATGTAATCATTAACTATTTTTTATGCTTCTAGCTAATAATTCTTCACTTGTTCGGTTGTTCCTACTTCTCCAAAAAATAAAAATAAAAACAAAATGTTTCTTGCTTCTTTTTGGAAATTAGTTATTATACTAGTTGGGGGAATTGTGATGGCTATTATGTTCAAATGGTAAATTTACGAAGGCAATTATTAAAGTAGAAGTAACATGTTTACTATTAGCTCAGTCATAAAATATATTTTTTCAACGTAAAAAGCAATGTTCTACTTTTCTCTCTTTTTCTTCTAAATCATAATTTGCAAAGATAACTGAATCTGTTGACTGGGTAGAGGGACATTTTGTTGCTGCAATTGTTTCTCTTAGATGAATGTTGTTTTTCTCAATTTTAGAATCATTTGAGTTGGTTTTGAACGCTGGTTGATGGTTATCATAGATTCTTGATACTGCTGATTATATTTTGGATAATGATTTTAGTGCGTCTTCTTTTCTAATTTAAAGCTGAGATTTTGCCACCAAATTTTATTATTCTCTTGCCAGGGGCACTAATTTATCCACTTCGAAAGAAACAAGTGAAGGTAACAATAATTGGTTTCCTATTTCCTGGGATTGTTTTAGTTTATAAATGCTGTCCTTTTCCCCCTCTTTTGTCACATATATAGCTGATTCAAAGGATCTTGAAAATGGAAGTGCTTCTGCATACAAAGCCAAAGCAGGAACTGCACTTTTTCTTATAGAACTTGAGAAAAGAAGATCAATCAAGGCAGGTGGTTATGCTTCAGGGAATTTATACACTAAAGTTTTCACAAACCTTTTTTGCATTTTTATGTTGCATATTAGATAATGAAGAATGTAGGAATGATAACCAGACAGTCTTTTAAACAACTATTTGTTTAAAAAGTCAACTCACTCTTTAAAAAGGGGCATGTTTGTGTTTCAATTAAATTGCTTTTTTAGAAAATATACCAATAATAAAGTGTAGGGTGTTGCTAACCAATGCTCTAAGGACACCACACTGGTTAAGAAATCAATAAATAGTAAGTTTTTATCGAAAACCTTGTTAGAATACATTAAAATACATGAGGGTGAGTGCATTTTTATGTTTTCTAGTAAAACATTTTTTATTTTTAATTTCTTAATCAATGTACTTGGCATTTTCCTAAAGGGTATCGCATAATTTATTTTAAAAGAGTGTGTTGCTATCATCTATCATCCCTCTTGAAGAATGATGTATATGATAATAATCATATGCTAAACCTTTTGCAGGTGTTTGGGAAGAGCACTTTGATTGGATTGGCTATAACTTTCTTTGCTGGAGTATGCTTCTCTCTGTTCTCACCAGCATTTAATTTGGCAACAAATGACCAGTGGCATACTTTGAAGAAAGGGGTTCCACATTTGAGTGTTTATACAGCCTTCTTTTACTTTTCAATATCATGTTTTGTTATTGCCATAATTCTAAACATCACCTTCCTTTATCACCCTGTTTTGAACTTACCCAAGTCATCACTGAAGGCTTATTTGAGAGATTGGGATGGAAGAGGTTGGGCTTTCTTGGCTGGTCTCCTTTGTGGATTTGGTAATGGCCTCCAATTCATGGGAGGTCAAGCTGCAGGATATGCAGCAGCAGATGCTGTTCAAGTAAGTTTCTATTTTTTGCCTACAAAAATTTTGCCAATAAATTCTTAGACAAGGTTAGCTTCTCATGTTGAGTTTTTTCATTATATAGTCTACTAAATTTCAAGTTTATCAATTTATTAATCTTAGCCTTTTAAGGCTAATTTTAAGAGTCCAGAAGTAGTACGTCTTTTTAGAAAAAAAAAAAAATATTTATTGCGTTTAGGAATATAAAAGTGTAATAAATATTTGACACCAAATATGTGGATTGCTGCTTTTCAGGTTATCATTGCATGTATTTCACTTTCACAACTACATTTATTTATTTTTAAGTGGTAATGATTGTTATGTATTGTATACTTAAAAATTTATCCAATTTGTCATTTGACACCCACATCAATCTATGTTAACATTTGAATTGTGCTTGTTCCTCAATTCATGGTAAATGAAGATGTGTTGTTTGTGTAGGCACTTCCATTAGTCAGCACCTTTTGGGGCGTGGTTTTGTTCGGGGAGTATCGCAAATCATCAAGAAGAACATATATTTTACTTGGGGGCATGTTGCTTATGTTCATTGTGGCTGTTGCTGTTCTAATGGCATCATCAGGGCATAGAAAATGATCATAATACTGAAGGGAATGATTGTGTTGAAATAACTGATTCAGTGCTAAACTTGTAGCATAATTGTTAAGGATTCAAAATATCTAATGCAAAGAGAGAAGTATTCTCAAAGTTGAATGATATTTAATCAGAGACTAATGACACCAAACTGTTCAGAAAAAAGGTGTATAGACCATGAAAGCAGACTAGGAACACAGTTGAAATCTTCTAACTGATTTATGTTTAGTGACAGTTTAGCTTAATGTGAATTTGATTTAATTGTCTTGACTAAAATAAATATCCCTACGATTTTTTTCGCTTTAGTTGTTGTTTACTTGATTATCATTATATCTTCAGATACTCAGTTCTCATCACCACCTACTTCAAGGAGCAAAAAATAACCATTCGATCCTCACAAATTAATATTACTTTTTGCCAGTTACAAACATGAATATCAAAATTATATATTATTATACATCCATTTGTTTGTAGTAGATATTTCTTACAATTTAACTCTTTATATTACCACAAGTATCTTAATTCTTGTTCATAGCACATTTTCGCTTTCTTTCTTGTAGTTGTTTATAAAATATCTTAGTGACAATAAGTATACAAATCAACAACTATCTCTGGACCAAAAGTTTGAGAATAGGAATGAGATATTACCATTATCCTAAAATAATTCATGCTTTTTGGATACAATATAGTCATGGTTGAAGAGTTAAGGAAAGAGGTTTAACTTTAAATTTCAACTTTGGGAACAAACAGAATTGAAGAATTCTTGCTGCAGTATGAGCAAGGTAAAGATTAATAAAAAAGTTAATGAATATATTACATACATAGAACAAACTACATAATTAAAGGGTAATCATAAAAAAATATTAATCAAATTTGACCAAATATTTTTTGTGACGGTATATGTTCGATATTTAAAAATGAAATATGAAAAAAGTAAAAGTAACGAAACTGAAAATGTTTGAATACATAAAGAAATATAAAATAAAAAAAATTGTCTAAAAAAATTAAAATAAAACCTATTAAAAATAATATAATTTGAATAAAATAATTTAGTAACCATTTTTTTAATGTGTGTACAACAACAATACATGTCAAGAATTCAAAAACAGTAACTTTTTAATAAAAAATTATAGCATTTAATATTAAATAATATCCTATTATTTTTTATAAGAACTTGTCGTACATAGTTTTTGTTATTGTGTGTTATTAGATATATGTTAAAAATATTTAAATAATTATAATAAAATCCAACTAAATTTGAATGGATTTACCTAACAAAAAGAGTTTAAAAAATAAATTAACATTCATTTTATAATATACAAAATAAAAAATCATTGAATTCTTAATCCGATGAACTTTCAAATTTTAAATCCAAATATTCTCATCTCCTCCAAGACAAGACCATTTACCAGCTTTCCCCAACAAGATAAGCAAAGCAACTCAGACATGAACCTTGGTACCATATTGCCATGTATAACCAACAAGATAACCTTTGCAATTGCATTCGCATAAAGAAGCATGTCTCTCAGCCTCATACACCATAAATCCCTTCCTTCTTCTTCTTGCCTCTTCTACCTTCACCCTTCCACTTCACACCCCACTCACACTCTTTCAAAACCCTTCTTCTTCTTACACTCCAAAACCCCAACATCATCACTCTCTCTATGTGCATCCCCATCTAATGTCCCTCACTCTTCAACAACCCGCATTTTCCTGCCACATCTCCAACAACAACAAGAACAAACAGAAGATGAAGAAGAAGAAGACATAGAAGTAACAGAAGAAGAAGGCCATGACCCAGATGATGAAGTCTACGAATTTTTCAAAATTGGCAATTGGGTTTCCTCCAAAGAGCCTCAAAATGAAGAAAAATTGTACCATGAGAAAAATCAGCACATCTCGTGGAACTTGGTCACTGACACCAACAACCTTGATGAAGAACGTGGAATGGGTTTGGAGGACATTCTTTTGTTTTTGGAGGAGAAAGAAGAAATGGGGTATTGTGAAAATAGGAAATTGCCTGAGGCTGAAGGCATTGTGGGGGAAATTGTTCAGCTTTCACGGAACTTGCCTCAAAATCTAACTCTGGAGGAAGCCTTGGATGAGTATGAAGGAAGGGTCAGTGAGAAAGAGTGCTGGGAGGTTCTGGAAATACTTGGGGAGGACCAGCTTCTGTTGCGTTGTTTGTGTTTCTTTCAGTGGATGAGGTTGCACGAACCTTCACTTGTTACTCCTCAGGCTTGTACTGTGTTATTTCCTGTGTTGGGAAAAGGAGGGATGGGTGATAAGTTGATGGATTTGTTCAGAAACTTACCATCTAGCAAGGAGTTCAGAGATGTTCATGTTTATAATGCCACAATTTCAGGTCTTATGTCTAGTGGCAGGTACAAAGTTGTACAGTTATATGGTTTTGCTTTGTTTCTCTCTTGCTGCTTTGGTAGGTCCTAGGAGTAGAAAAATATGCTAACCAATGCCCTTAAAGAATCAAAAGCAGAATGTTGTTGTCAGAAAAGTGATATTAAAAGCATTTTCCTTTCTCTGAAGTGATCGTAGAAAAAGTTATTACATCTCTTCCGACTCTGACAACAAATGAATATCCTTAAAAGCATTTATTTTACTGAAATACCACATATTGTAAGAGTTCATTGTTGTTGTTTTAGGTATGAAGATGCTTGGAAGGTGTATGAGTCAATGGAAACAGAGAATATTCAACCAGATCATGTGACATGTTCTATTATGATTACCGTTATGAGAGAACTTGGCCATAGTGCAAAAGATGCATGGGAGTTTTTTGAGAAAATGAACAGAAAAGGAGTTGGATGGACTGAGGAAGTCCTAGGTGCATTAATGAAGTCATTTTGTGTTGAGGGTCTGATGAGGGGAGCTCTCATCATCCAATCTGAAATGGAGAAAAAAGGTGTTTCTTCAAATGTAAATGTGTACAACACTCTGATGGATGCATACTGTAAATCCAACCATATAGAAGAAGCTGAAGGCCTTTTTGTTGAGATGAAAGCTAAAGGGATTAAGCCCACTACAGCTTCCTTCAACATTCTAATGCACGCATACAGCAGAAGAATGCAGCCTAAGATTGTAGAGAAGCTGCTGGCAGAAATGCAGGATGTTGGCTTGAAGCCAAATGCTGAATCATATACTAGTCTAATTAGTGCATATGGTAGGCAAAAAAAGATGAGTGAAATGGCTGCAGATGCATTCTTGAAGATGAAGAAAGTTGGTATAAAACCCACTTCAAATTCTTATACAGCACTGATCCATGCTTATTCAGTTAGTGGCTTGCATGAGAAAGCTTACATGGCATTTAAAAACATGCAGAGGGAAGGTATTAAACCTTCCATAGAAACCTACACTACTTTACTAGATGCGTTTAGGCGTGCAGGTGATGCCCAGACATTGATGAAAATATGGAGATTGATGATGAGTAAAAAAGTTGAAGGAACGCGTGCAACATTTAACATTCTTGTTGATGGTTTTGCTAAACAAGGTCTCTACATGGAAGCAAGAGATGTCATATCTCAATTTGGGAAGCTTGGATTGCACCCCACAGTGATGACTTATAATATGCTGATGAATGCATATGCACGAGGAGGGCAACCCTCAAAGCTGCCACAACTGTTGAAAGAGATGGCAGTTCTTAAATTAAAACCAGATTCTGTAACTTATTCAACCATGATATTTGCCTTTGTTCGAGTTAAAGATTTTAAACGAGCGGTTTTTTATCACAAGCAGATGGTCAAGAGTAGGCAGATGATGGACTTTAGTTTGTACCAGAAGCTTCATGCTATTGTGGATGTCAAAGCTTCCGCAAAAAACAAGGATAGGAGTGCCTTGCTTGCTATGATTGAAAGTAAGATGGGTGTGAAAGTGAGAGGTCAAAAAGATGAGTTTTGGAAGTACAAGAAAAGGCATGTAAGAGAAACATAGTTCTGATATTAGTGTATAGTAAGTTAAGGATACGTTGCCCCTTTAAGAATTGTAAGTTCAATTTTGATCCACTTTTGATTTCTCTGAATGGATACTATCAGGAGCTTCTTGATGTTAAATGTAAAGAATAGATGTCTTCATTGGGAGTGTTCATCCTGTGAACATTGATAAATGAAACAAATTAATATAGCAATAGATACGTTTCGTGGTTCAGATGATTGTTAACAATGATTTAAGTTATGCACCGCATTATACTCAAACTAAAATTCGTCAATTTTTTCTTTAGATAGATATATTACGTGATCATTTTAAATGATTTTATAAAGATCTTTGGCCCCTCATTTCTTGATCAACGTTTTACACGTGGATATTAGTCAACATGAAAATGAACATTAGCATTGGATGCCTCACAGTAACTTACTCTCACGTTTGCCATTGTTCCAAGTTAGATGATACCAAGGCAAAATATTTAAATTGCTGCATAAAGTAAATTAAGCTATTGAAAACTCGAGCTCCTAAAATAAGCTATAGCATTGTTAAAAGTAACGAAGAAGTTCACAAGTGGTAATGGTTGATTTTTTTATAAACTTAACTACGCTGTGATCTAATAATAATCAGTTTCACATGAAAATGGATGTTTGTTTATTGAATCGGGTAACCTAAATAATTAGGTAAGCTGCCTGGTAATTAGGAAACATACCAGATGCCATACCAATCATGCACATTCATAACTACAGACAAATTGTATGCATTTAGTATCTTTCTGGATTGAATTGCCATGGGAAGGAATGATCCCAAATACCAAATGCCTTACAAGTTGCTCCAGAAAGAACATAACTGATTATCTGTTACAGCAGAAGATAATTAAGCCATATAACATTGAATTGCCATGGAATAAGAAAAACTGAAACAATATAACATGTATTTTAAAAAAATTGTTAAACCAGCTGGGGTCATATATAGTTAAAAATGTCCATGCTTGGTCAGGCATGGGGGCTTATACCAATAACTGTAAAGGAACTGCTGTCCACCTAGGCCATATACATACAATACAAGCTACCATGTCTAAACTGTTAAAAGAGACAGATAAGGTTCAAGTGCAGCAGCAGTAAACTAGTCAGTTTTCTTTCTCTTGACAGAACTTCAGTGAGATCATAAATTTGAAAAAAAGTTCATATCCCAACTTTGTCAAATATATACCCCTTCAATTTTTGGAAAAAGCCCCTAAATTCAATCTTCTCATCAAATAATTTCAATCCATCCAGAGCTGCCACTAATCACTTTTCCAGAACGATGTACATGACCCTAATCAATTTTTTCTTCCACCGTTTCATAGATCCAGTATGCCCTCCATATTATAGGTGATAGAAGCCGTTCTGTTTTCCAGCCTGATGACTTAAGCTGCACAGATAATAAAGAGTGTACTTAATCTCCCACTTAGTGGATAGATATAAAATTCAGGCAAGAGCAGGTGGCATGCTATCTAGTTTGATTCCCATACCATATCATAAATAGTTTGAATTTACAAGCTTAAAGAATTACCTTCTGAATAAATACTTCATATTGATTATCTATCCACATTTGGCCATCTGAATGCAAAGATTTGCTTTTATTAACACTCTTTGCCAGGACGAGACCATGAATGAATGACTTTAGCACATCAGCAGCGTTTGAATCTTTATGCACAATAACATCAATTATTCCCTTCCTTTCCACAAGCAAGTACTTGGCTATATACCATACAAAGAATGACATATAAAGGTTTAAGACTTCAGACAGAAAGGGGAAACTCATAGGTTAAAATAATATGAGGTAGACTCAACCTTTTGTATAGTACGATGCTGCAGAAACCACGTGCTCCTTACTGTCAGTGTCACAGAGAAAAATAATTTGTTAATTAAGCGTTGTTAATGACATTTCAAAGCTACTATTGCAAGAAAACCATCAATCAATCACGGATAGCTCAAGTTTTGAGCCAATAGGGGTGATATAGGCAATTACAGAGCTCAAGTATCAATCACACATTGCTCAAGTTTTAACGTATGGTATATTATTACTAATATATTTTTAAATGATATAGGCAGGGAAAAGGCTAATCAGTGCTATTTTGAATAAGTTACTCTCTGGAGCTTTGTTAGTTAGTCATGACAACATAAACTGTATAATATCATGATTTGGGCTACTAGAAGTTAGAACGCGACATAGCTTACCGCTTACCTTGAATGCCATTTGGATTTGGGGACTGGAAAAGAGTAGTGCAATGAATAAGAAGTTCAGGCAAAACTAAACATATTTGCCAAACTATGACAAGTGCACTAAGAAGAAATTTATTTTCTAAATGGATTGGGACTCGGACCAAATTTTAGCCACTTACATTTCGATGCTATCAAATGAAGAAATCCTCATGCCTAAACGTACTTTCTTATGCAGATAATTATCATCCTTTGAGCTCCATGAAATGAGCTGTATTGGTAAAACATGCTCCAGTGAAGAGACCTGTTCAAGGGAGAGAACTGGCAAAAAGTTTAGAAGCAAGCATTAATATACATATCAATAACTTTTAAAATGTTGGAAATTACATTTTCCATTACAAGATGATGAATCTATAAAACCAATCTTGCTTTTGGGATGTGGTTGGAGAAGGTTTAAAGATACACCAGACACAGATCTCAAAACAATTGAAAATTAAAGTATAATGATTTCGATGTGACAACATTTGTTCCAAGATGTGGCCAATTTTATGAAAAACACAGAATAGATTATCAACCATTAAACATATGTTGTGGATGCAAGCAATGAAGAATCGAAACAGACAATACCTAGGCCAGTCTCCATGAAATGCTGCAGAAGAATAGAGCTCCTTGCAGGGTTTAATGAGTTCAATGCCAGGCATCGAACAGCTTGGTAGTTTGCTGCACAGAAGAGGGACATCATTTCTGTTATCATATTTAGCCAGTGTACTTTTTTTTTTCTCTTTTTTTTTTTGTGTGTGTTGAGAGAGAGGGGGGGGGGGGGCTTCAGATTTAAAATTATGAGCTCTCTAATTTAAGGAGAGCAGATAATGTTTTCAATTGTTGAGGAAGTAATATAGGACAATCTCATTAATGAGCTAAATAAGGCAATAGAAATTCAATCTCCATTTTATCCAAACCACCAACAAATATTCCACAAGATCTAAACATTAGTCGCTATGAACTAGCAAAGTTTGTCTATTGTCTACCCTGGAAAAGTTGGATTTACCTATTTATCCCATCCCAAACACACTGGTAAGGAAATGGACTAACTATATACCTATTTGCAGGCTAATACCATCAATCTATAACCTTTTACTCCCTTGACGAGTCAAATATTAACAAGGATTCCCCCCTTCTTTTTCTTGTAGTTTGTACAACAAACGCAGTACAGTAGAATAGATTTATGCCTAATATAAGGCTATCTCCATAATTCTACAATGCAAGGGACATGCATAAAGCAAATTACATTTTAGAAACGTACCATAAATATGAAACAGGGTCAGAGATAAAAATGAAAACCAAATGGCTAGTGGGTGTCCGATGGTAATGCGTGCAACAAGCATTCCCAATGCCATGCCAATCATTGTGGCCACAGTTTCTTGACTTCCTTCCTATAGGTAAATGTTAACAATTCAAATTTCAATATATAGATATATACATGCCCAACTGAGCAAAAACTTAATTCTCAGCTAATAATATGAACAGTTAGATAAACGCAACTTATACCTTTGCAGATATATCTGCAGCATTATCCTGAAGAGCAAAATGCTGAGTCAAAGCTGCTCTAGTAGCTCCACTTGCAACACCAGCTAGTTCAAAATACATTAAGTTATATTTCTTATAAAACTACGAACATGAAAAACATAGAGGGGAAAAAAGCTACAGCTAGCAACTAACTTTAAATCAAATTAGTGACTTAATATTGAACATCCAGCAATATTCGAACTTACTGAAAGATCTTGATATGCTTCCTAAGCAAACAACAAACACAAAAGCCGATGGAAATAATGGAGAAATGAGGTCCATTAGCATTCCTGAAAATAATGCAAAACCTTAATGAATCAATGTAAGATATAAAGATTGAAATAGGAAAGATCAAACTTAACACAAAGCCGCATCATTGAAAAATACACTATTGATCAACTAGTAAGTTTTAGTTTAATGAAGCAAATATAAAGAGATCTCGACATTAGTAGCCAAGTAAAGCATTTCAAGTAGAATTTCTCCTTTTCTTATAGTCTCAGTATATTATTGACATGAGTGCATATCTGATACCTACAACATGCAAAATCAAAGCTATAACAAATCAAATGCAAATCTGCAGGAGTTTTCATATCAGTTGAGAGAACAGAAAAACCCATATTCAACACAGTCAATTGATTTGGAAGACACTGCTAATTCATAACCTGGAAAATGTTCAAATGAAACATTATTCCACCCAAAAAAGAGTAATTATCATTTAAGTTTTCAAAAGAAAAAACAAACCTAAGATCAAATTGTTTTCTTGAATGACAATTTGTTTAAATCTTTTTCAATTTGTGACATAAAATTGTAACAGTTGGCAGAAACTAGAGGAAGTCTCTCTCTTCCCTATCTCTACAAGCAGGAGAAGGGACTAACTCCATTCTGACATCTACTATATCCTGCAAATCTAAAAGTTTACATTTAAATAGTGGACAATGTAGAATCAATGCCGAATATTAATATATAGCCTGATAGCAATATATAAGTATTTTGATTAGTACTAGACATTTGATAAATCTCATCCATTGTGGCACTGCAGCAAATATGGAATGGGATTATTTAACATTGGTTGTAACAAATAATGTTATTATGTGCATCTGTGGTAAGTGGAGAATGAAGCACATGTTAGCATCAACATTTGACCTACCTACGTGGACATACTTAAAACATACCGGAAACTTTTCTACCCAAATGATATAAGGGAAGGACCCCTTTTGAAGAGTAGACAGTTTATCTATAAAATTTCTATAACAAGCCCCTTCTTTTCCTAACCTTTGATTTATTCTCAATCCTTGAATCTACACACTATTAATTATTAAACCAGGACTCATGTATGTAAATCTTTTTTTGGCCTATGTCTATACTTCAGAGACGGAGATTGCATATAGAAAATGGCTGCACAATTTTATTTTATTCTTTTAAAAAGATGAAAGTGAAAGACTCTACCAAGGTCATTCATAAGATCTGCAACCAAACGCCACATTTTTGCATTGCTATCAAGATTTGATCCCTGCAGCATGAGATAAACAGAAACATAATTAAAAAATGATTTCAGAATCATCTGAGAGGATTGAATCAGCATATGCCAATCCAAGTGTAGGGCTAGTGCCACATATTTCAGTTCAAAATTAATAAGGATGAAGGAACATGTTTGTATGAGAGATGCAGACCTGGTAAAATGTGAATAAGATTCCTCCAAGCATACCAGTTAGATCCCTCAAAAACCACTGGAAACAGTTTCAAAGTTCAATATCCTACCATTTAGACATTGCAGCCTAAGAAACAAAAAAGACTGTACCAAAAACAAATAAATAGAAAACACAAAAGACTTGAGGCTTCTTCTCCCGTGCCCCATCTAACAAATCAGTGTTCAACCATTACTCAAGTAAACACAGAATATAACTAGTGAATACCTGAAAAGTGGCACCAATCACCGTAGCTGATTTCTCTCCAACCCCAATCGCACTCAAGAGAGCCTGAAAAAAAGAGGGATTTTGTTGACCACTCATGTCCTTTTTATTTTCTGAGAACATCTCCGACAACAAAAAAAAGTCAGTGAAACAATGCAATGCCTTACCTGGGTAGAAAGCATGGTCCTTATATACGTTGAAAGGCCCTGCCACAATCAATCTATAATTAATTAGAGAACAACAACAATCTGATACAAAAACAACTTAATTACACTGTTTCTTCATTGTATTTTACCTGCAATGAATCCCATATTTGAAAAGGAACATAATCTGCAGTCACACTGCTTGGAAAACCCTGTATTGTATGTTACCAATTACAAGAAAAAAAGAGGAACCCTTTTTTACGAAGATGGACTAAAGGGACAAGCAGATAGTTACATAGTAGTGGCATGTGAAATTTCAATCCTTTTTTTTTATTTAGAGAAGATATTGAGTTAAAAATAGAAACTTGCCTCAGGTACAAATGCTTGAAGTAACCGTTTCCAAACATGGGTAAAGCGGGCACCAGATCTGCAAATGAGGAAGCAAGAAGAATAAGGAGGAAAAATAAGAAGAGGTGAATGATGATGATGAGAAAAAGGGAAGGGAAAAACCTTGTAACGGAGACAGAGGAAGAAGAAGCCTTGATGGTGAAGGTCTTTGAGAGCTTTGTGGGTGATGAACCGTTCCATTCTTCTAATGTTATGGTTTTATTGGACATTGATGATGATGATGGTGTCAGTGTTCCCATGCCCACATGAAACTGGAACGACGTAAAGGACTCGGCAGACAAAAGGAAGGAACAGTGAAGTGCAAAATCTTGGTGGCTTCGCAGGTTGTTGTGTAATCTCAGAACTCACGTCACAAGTGAGAGTGACTTTGACCCTCACAGGTAAATTACACGTTACTCCTTGCCTTACCAGTGAATTCTTTTGCTTGAAAGCTAACCAATAAACTTAATCATTTAAAAATTTAGTATGTGTTTGGGAAATTTTATTTTTTTTATTATTTTATTATAAAATGTATTGTTTATATTTTTATGGGAAAGATTAAACAATTAGCTGCATTTAAAAAAAACTAATTTAGAATAAATAAAATTATAAAATTTATGATTAAAAGTTACCGATTGACTTTTTAGAGGACTTTTATTTTCCTTTTTTATATACTTTAAAATTAATTATTTAAAATACCAAATTAATCATTACATAGAAATGGCAAGAAACCAATAGTTCGTTAATTAAGTTTACGATGATTATAATATTTAAAAAATATTTTATCTTTTTTTTTTCAAATAAGTCTCTAATAAATTTTTTGTTATAAAATATTTTTATTTAATCTTTTTAAATATTATATTTTTTTTATTTAACTCTTCTCTTTAAGAGAACTAAATGATAAATTCATATTATTTATGAGCATCAAATAAAACATTTGTGATGTTTTAGAGAAACAAAAAATTTAATAATATTTAGAGGAATTGAATAAAAAATAAAAATCATAAGAAAAATATTTAAAAAAGAAAAATACATGCACTCGCTAATTTTTTCTTGTAATCACGATACTTTTTTTTATTTTGTTAACTATTTGTAATTTATTCAAAATAATTTTTATTAAAATAAAATATTGAAAAAAATACAAGAAAAGAGTGAACAGCTTAAAAAAGGAAAAGGATAAAAAAAAGAAAAAGAAAAATAATTTCTACAAATATTAAACTAATTTTTTATTAGTTAGTTTAACATTTAGTAAGAGTTAACAGTAATAATTAAATTATATTTTTTAATATTTTAGAGATTAAATCTTAATAAACAAATGTATAAAGCGGTTAGCGTCATGGAAGCATAGGTATTTATCGATTGGAGGTAGGGTGACTTTGATTAATATTGTTCTTAATTCTATGCCATTGCACTCGTTATCCTTTTTTAAGGTGCCGAAGTCGGTAATAAAGGAAATTGTCACTATCCAACGGAATTTTTTATGGAAGGGTGTTAAGGATGGATCTAAAATTCCCTGGGTGAAATGAAAAACTGTATGTAGACCGCGGAAGAATGGTGGCTTGGGCATTAGGAATGTGCAGTGGTTTAATTGGGCGCTTCTTGGTAAATGGTTGTGGCGAGGTGTTAACTGTTCTAGTTCATTGTGGGTACGGGTGTTGGAATCTAGATATGGAAGATTAGCTTCTTCTCTTCAGCGTTCATCAGTTCACAACAGATATTTTTTGTGGTGGCGTGATTTGCTGGAGGTTATTCATCAAGGGAATTCATGGCTAGATGAGAAGTTTGATAGAAGTGTGGGTGCAGGTTTACACACTCTTTTTTGGAGAGATAAGTGGGTAGGAGGGGTGCGATTGTGTGAAGCATTTCCGTGATTATTTGCAGTGACGAGAAATGCTGAATCACGTGTATTGGAGAATGGTTTTCATGATGGCACTAGATGGGTTTGGAATGTTAGTTGGCGAAGAGGACTCTTTCAACATGAGATCTCGAGCTTTAATATTTTGTTGGAGCTTGTGGATGAAGTTTCTATTAAGTTACTACAAGAAGATAAATGGGTATGGAGGGCAGATTCTTCAGGTTGTTATTCAGTGCAATTTGCGTATTCATGGCTATTTGAACTTTTTGGTGGTCCTAATAGTGTAGATCAATGTACGGCAGATGCCTTGCAAAGGTTATGGAGAGGGAAGGTCCCTCTTAAGTGTTTGGTTTTTTCTTGGCAATTGTTGTTGAATGCACTTCCTTGTAAATGTTTACTACTTGATCGTGGTGTTCAAATTGATGATATAACTTGTTGTTTCTGCCATGGTTTGGAGGAACTTCCAACTCATTTATTTTTAACGTGCTCAGTTTCATCTCAAATCTGGTACTTTACTGCGCGTTGGCTTGGATTCTCACTGGTTTTGCCTTCAGATTTATCGACTCACTTACTTTCTTGGGTTGGTGTTGACTGTAGTAAAAGAGAAGGAATATGCTTATTAATTATTTGGGTAAGTACAGTGTGGTCTTTGTGGTTGCATAAAAATAGAATTATATTTTCCAATGGTGTTTTGGATGAGAGGGAAGTCCTAGATTCTATTATTCTGAGATCTTGGAAATGGTTATCACTTGTTAGTAAGGGAGAAGCTATTATGTTAGCTGATTGGTATTTGAACCCACGAAATTGCATCTGTCTTAATTTTGCATAAGTATATTTTTACTTTTTATTTCTCTGAGTAAGTAATTTTTTGTGTATATGGGTTTTGAGTTCCCCTTGAACTCTTTTTAATAAGATTTGTTTTGTCTATAAAAAAAAAACAAATGTATAAATCTTTATCATAAATATATTATATTTATAGTAACTGATCACGTGTTTAAACCTAAAATTTTTTATTCAACTGTTTTGACTATAACAATATATTTTTTTATAATAATAAAATATTATGAATTTAATTTTTTTTCTTTTAGCTTAAACTTTTAATAGTTATTTATAAAGAGTTTTAGATCATGTCAAGGATGTGTAGTATTAAAAAATATGCTATAGATTGTGCATATAGAACTTGAAATATGAGAAAGTAGCAATATGATGAATAAAATATCAAAATATAGAAAAAGACAGCATCAAGCTCATTTTTGTTGTTGCATTGACACTAGTTGCCTCCAAAGAAAAGATGTAGGAGGCTAAGGGAATAAAATTCAACATCTGAAAAAGCGCTAGAAGGAGGGCTTGAACCTCCGACCTTGTGGTTAACAGCCACACGCTCTAACCAACTGAGCTATTCCAGCTTATGCAAGGGTCTTCGATTTATAAAAATGAATTCTAAAAGCGAAAACGTAGATTCAACTTCAAATGGAAACACTATGCGAAGTTTCTTCAGCGAATTGAAAACCACCAAACCTGAAAATGAGAGTTTGTGAAAATTTCAAGCCTGAATTGGAAAATTGAAGCGGAAAGTGTGTTAATTTTGGGGGGATTGGGATTTGGGACCAAAACCCTGAGAAAGGGTCGTAAGCTGAGAAACATTAAAAATTAATGAGACAAAGCAATGGAAACAGAAGCTGAGAGAACAAACCCCTTTGAACAAGAACAAGGTTGATGATAAAGAATGGCCAAAAGAGTTGTGTACAGAGCATTCTCCTCAACTCCTGAAATTCCAAGCCTTTATTCCTTTCTACAACCATCAGTGTTTGCCCTCACAAAATGCAAAAACAAACGACAACCCATTTCTGAAGAACCTCAAAAGCTTCCAACTTCACCACGACAGTCTCTTTTCCTCACTCCTGATCAAATCTCCACCTTGCAAACGACCCTTCACAAGTCTCTCATAACCAGTGACACTGATGAGGCTTGGAAGTCCTTCAAGACCCTCACCACCCACCAAACCTTTCCACCTAAACCCCTCACCAATTCCCTCATCACTCACTTGTCCTCTCTTGGTGACATCCACAACCTCAAGAGGGCTTTTGCCTCTGTGGTTTTTCTCATGGAGAAGAACCCTTTGGTGATTGACTTTGAAACCCTTCATTCCATGCTAGATTCCATGAAGAGTGCCAACACTGCTGCCCCTGCTTTTGCCCTTGTTAGGTGCATGTTCAAGAACAGGTTTTTTGTTCCTTTTAGTGTTTGGGGTAATGTGCTTGTTGAGATTAGTAGGAAGAATGGTAACCTTGCTGCTTTTCTGAGGGTTTTTGAAGAGAATTGTAGGGTTGCTTTGGAGGAGAAGATGGAGTTCATGAAACCTGATGTTGGTGCTTGTAATGCTGCACTTGAAGGTTGCTGTTTTGAACTTGAATCTGTGAGTGATGCTGAGAGGGTTGTTGGAATAATGTCAAATCTTGGTGTTAGGCCTGATGATTTGAGTTTTGGGTTTCTTGGTTATTTGTATGCACTCAAGGGGTTACAAGAGAAGATAAAAGAATTGGAGGTTTTGATGGGTGGGTTTGGTTGTTCAAACAAGAAGGGTTTCTATTCTAATTTGATTAGTGGGTATGTTAAGTCAGGAAATTTGGCTTCTGTGGAGTCAACTATTATTAAATGTCTGAATGATGAAGGTGGAAAAGATTGGAGTTTTGGTGTAGAAACTTTCTGTGAAGTTGTTAAGGCGTATTTTCAGAAAGTAAATATCAAGGGGTTAGCTAATTTGATTATTGAAGCTCAGAAGTTAGAGCCTTCAAATATCGTAGTTGATAAGTCTATAGGTTATGGTATTGTTAATGCATGTGTTAGTATGGGACTATCAGACAAAGCACACAGCATTCTTGATGAAATGAATGCTCTGGGAGCCTCTGTTGGTCTCGGGGTCTATGTACCAATCTTGAAGGCTTACTGCAAAGAAAATAGAACTGTTGAGGCTACTCAATTGGTGATGGAGATTAGTAATTCTGGTCTGCAGTTGGATGTGGAAACCTATGATGCTTTGATAGAAGCAGCCATGTGCAGCCAAGATTTTCAGTCAGCATTTTCCCTGTTCAGGGACATGAGAGAAGCAAGGATTCCTGATTTGAAAGGGAGTTACTTGACTATAATGACAGGTTTGATGGAGAATCATCGGCCTGAGTTGATGGCAGCTTTCTTAGATGAGGGGGTTGAGGATCCTCGGATTGAAGTAGGTACGCATGATTGGAATTCTATCATCCATGCTTTCTGTAAAGCTGGGAGACTTGAAGATGCAAGAAGGACTTTTAGAAGGATGACATTCCTGCAATTTGAGCCAAATGATCAAACATACTTGTCCATGATTAATGGATATGTCTTGGCTGAGAAGTATTTTGTTGTGTTGATGTTGTGGAATGAGGTTAAGCGAAAGCTATCAACGGATGGGCAGAAAGGGATCAAGTTTGACCACAATCTGGTTGATGCTTTCCTGTATGCCATGGTCAAGGGAGGTTTCTTTGATGCTGTTATGCAAGTTGTACAGAAAGCTAATGAGATGAAAATTTTTGTTGACAAGTGGAGATACAAGCAAGCATTCATGGAGACCCATAAAAAGCTCAAAGTTGCAAAGTTAAGAAAAAGAAATTTTAGAAAAATGGAAGCACTTATTGCTTTCAAGAACTGGGCTGGGTTAAATACATGAACAATAAAGACTGGCTACTTCTTATTATCCCAAGGATTGAACCATTTGCGTATTCTTTCAAGAAACGAACTTTGATATCATAAACTTTAGAGCACTTTAATTTTTTATTTTCTTGAACAATAACACTCAGTTTAGGCTTGGCAGGTTCTGCTCAACGAGATCATCTCCTTTTTTATTTGGGCTAAATGCATTTCTTTGCTGTCTCCCATTTTCCAATTTTCAATTGTTGATTGTTGTCTTCTTGTATGTAAGATAGGAAGTTTAAACACACGCTGAATCAATGAACTGCTTACACATGGTCTCGGTATTCCTCAAAAGAAGAAAAACATGATCACCAGTCGCTTTCTTGCTATCCATTTATGAAGGATGAAGTATCCAGTAACCTGAAGGCTCAAAATAAATACTATCACATGTAGTATTGTCAATATCCTGCATCAGTATGAAGTTCTTTGCTTTCAATTTTCTATTTCCTTGTTATGAGCTTCTAATGAGTCGTTTATATTTTTTATTTATTTATTTGTCTTTATCTGAAATAGGCATTAAGCACTAGAATTGAACCTGGTTTGGGGCAGGAGATTGTTCTTCCCCATGACTATATCTTCAGGTTTAATTCTTTGATTCAGCCTCATATTTTCTTTAATAGATCAAAATTGTTTGATAGTAGTTGAGACTTCATGTATTGCATACTATATCAATTACATATAGTGAGGGCAACGGTTTTACCATAATCACAAACAACATAATTACTTTGTATCAGATTATAAGTATAACAACCAAAAAATTTGTGATATTAGCAAATTTAAAGAGGTGATTCACCTTGAAGTATCAAGTTCAAGCTGAATGAGTAGAATGAGATTGACGTGGACACATTTGTGATTCAGCCACAGTATGTTATAATTAGTGTTGGAAATATGAAATTATAGTAATGCTGAAAATAGAAATATTAATATCTTTGTAATTATGATAATCAGATAATTGCATATTTTGTTATTTAATTTGTGTATTAATGTTTCTATTATAAATACATGTTTCAACGTGTAGTTTAGACTTCTTCATTCTTAACATGGTATCTAACCAAAGACAATTTATTATTGTTGTGTTTTATCCTTATAATGTTATGAATTTAACTAAAAACTTACATTTCATTGGTATTTGGTGATATAATATATTTCCATGCTAATAATTGGCTGGGATGCAAGTTAGTTTGAAATAATTAATCTGAAAAGGATGTAAACTGCGTTATGCACTCCCATTCTCTACATGTCTTCAACAAATCCATAACATACATTTCCCGCGGCCCAAATGAGAAAATTCAGATTGAATATCTTTCTACCATGCCACTAGCCAGACATCTAGTTGAATTAACTTGTACACTTTGACCATGTGATGTGATTGTTGTTAGGAGTCTCATTAAGCAAATTTTATTTCATTTAAAAGTGTATTCTCACTTAAATTTTGCGTCTAGTTTCGTGTATGCTTAAACTGGACAATCTAATTTCCGTCGTAACAGGGAAAGATCTTGATCTATATAAATGCATGTTTTGTATAATAATATTATTTTTAAAAGAGTTTAAAATTTATTTAAGATTATTTTTTAAAAATGAACTAAATTTAATCATATTTATCCCATTAAAACTGCCACAATTTTGTTGTATAAGTCTCTAGACACAATTATTTTTGATCTTGTATGATTCAAAAGTTGTTGCGTGGAAGAAAAGGGTTGGATGAGGATGGGGATATGGTGTGTGTGTGTGTGTATATATAAGATAAACGTATAAAGAACTACTTAAAAGAAGAATAATAATAATATTTATATTTAAAATTAATTATAATTTTTTATAATTATTTTAAATATAATTTAATTATTTCTTTTCACTCTTTTTAACTCATCCAAACAGGCAGATAATTTTTTATTATTTTCTTTCTTTTTACGTTAACCCATTCAAACATAAAATCTTTTTCACTCTATTTTTTTTTCTCTATTTTGTACCCTTTTAGTTTTTTTTTTATTTTTTTATTTCCACTCTATTTTTATTTCCAAAAGTAAATAAACATCTGGCGTTTTGTTGCTAAAATGTAAAGCACAAGCACTATAATTTTGTTTGTTTTCCTTTCTCATACTTGGCAAAATTATTCGTTCTTATTTCTTATTACAAAACTCAAATGTTGTTTTAGACCATTTGCCACGTGAACTTGTGAAAATGGAAGCTAAAGCCTTGAGGGTACTCCCCCAGAAACCACTATAGTTTCTCCAGTTATATAAGAAGCATCATCAGATGCCAAAAATGCTGCTGCAGCAGCCATGTCTTCAGTTGTACCAAGCCTTCCAAGTAAGGTTTTCCCTTCTATCTCCTGTCTCTGCAGTAATAGGCAAAGAAAATTCATTCAAAATGACTAATGATGCAGCGAGGAAGGAAACTAGGAAAAACCTTTTGGGGGGTAAATAGGTACTCACTAGAGCATCATCAGTGGTAAGGAATGCAGCAAAATTAGTTGGTACAAAACCAGGAGCAACACAGTTTACACGAGTGTTTGGAGCCATCTCAGCAGCTAGGGCCTACACAACATATTATAAATAATTAGTAGATTGAAAAAAGATAGAACCAGTTTATTGGTGTGTTTGGATAAACGACTTAATTAAGCACTTACTCAATAAATTCTTATTACATGAGAACTTATGGCTAAAATGAGGTTATTTTGATTTTGAAAAAGCTCATAGACAGGTTATGAAAATAACTTATGACTCAAGCTCTTTTTAACTTATTTCAATAAGCTTCTTAATATAACTATCAAAATAAGGTGTTTTCATCTTATCACAATAAGGTTTTTTTAACATAAGTCATCATGTAAAAAAAACTTATAGCAATAACGCTTAATTAAGTTATGCATCCAAACACAATCTAAGAAGCTTATTGAAATAAGTTAAAAACAACTTATAAAAGTCAAACTATTTTGATAAGCTCTTCCAAATGTTCCTATATATATGAAGAAACAATGGAAGTCAAGTACTAACTTTGGTGAGTCCAAAAAGGGCTGTTTTGGTCACTGCATACATAGCCAAAGGAGCTTGTGGATTATAACCAGTAATTGACGAAATGATAATGACAGAAGAGTCTTTCTGCAAATGAGGAGCTGCATCCTGCATAAATCATAAAGTGGATAACACACCATACGCAATTTCAGAACATCACGTGGAGATGAGAGAAAGAGAAAATGCTGAAACACATTGGATTCTTTCTTTTTCTTTCGGCCATTTAACAGCTTTAAATAATTACCTTCAAAAGAAGTATAGAAGCTTTGACATTTATCTCCCATAGCTTGTCAAGAACTGTCTCTTGTGTTTGCAAAATTGCTTCAGTCGAAGGATTTGCAGCCGCATTGGACACAACAACATCTATCTTTCCATACTTCTGTAACAAACCAGATTGTCAAACCACATACTAAAACTGCACTCAAACAGTTGGAAAGACATATTCTAATAAACGATTACACAAACTAATGCACTGAAGAAGACCAAGGCCAAGTATTGGTCTACCCTCCACATCAAGATGACATATGATCACGGGTGCTAATGACACTAACAAAATATGATTGACGGGTGCTTAGATTCCAGTAACTAAATCAGTTTCTTTAGCCAATTGATAATGAAGAGAATAGATAATTGAAAGCAGAGATGAGCTCAATAAAAGCCTTCTATTGAAATTGGGATTGAATAATTGCTGAGGCAAAGCATGTATACCACATAAATTTTAAAAATCATAAGACACACATAACTATCATATAAAGTACAAAATTAATTTAAAACTAACACTATCATAAATACAAATTTAAAATCAAAACAAAGAATTGATGTTTTACAAATGAGCGAGACTCATTGTAGACTCAACAAAATTGTACAATTTGTCTAATTATTGTGATATTCTCATCTGTATTAGTTTCAAAAGTAAAAGTAAAAAGTTATAAAATGTAACTTGGTAGCAGAATTTGAAGCACATAAACATATATCCCAGACGTATATCACATGAAACTGCTACTGTTTAAAAACACCTGTACTTTGAATAAATTTCAAATGTTATCAGAGAAAATCTCACCTGAACTGTTTTGTCTATCAAATTCTTCCTCTGTTGAGCATTTGAAACATGACAAACGACCGCCAACACTTCAATTCCTTTGGCCCTGAGTTTTTCCGCAGCCACATCAACATTTTGCTGCAGTAATTCAACGAAAAAGGTTAAAAATTAAAAAACAAAAAGCTTTTAGCAATGAACAAGCATGTGCATAGGACACAAGTGTCAGATGACAGTATTGTTGGTGGTGGTAGGTGATAATTTGCAAACAAAATCATTTGTACCAACCATTCTTTCTATTTAACAACTACTCTCTCCTTCATTAGATGAATCAAATGAAGGAAAAAAAAAAAAACTTAATTCTTGTGACCCAAATACAAAACCAGGTTTTTTTTAAGCCAAAACAAAAACCACCACATCAACATTTTGCTGCAGTAATTCAACATATTATAATTAAAATAAAATAAAATAAAAACTTTCATCAACGGTGAATCAAATAAAGGGGATAAAATAACCTTAATTCTGGTGACCCAAATACAAAAAAGGATATTTTTAAAAACCAAAACATAAAGATGAAGACTTCGACTTAAACTCAATCAGAAAAAGAAAATAAAAAAATGGGAAATTGAACCTGTTTGCGAGACGAAATGACAACAGATGCACCCTCCAAGCCAAGCCTTTCAGCTATGCCAAATCCAATTCCCTGAGTGGAAGCTGTCACAATAGCCACTTTCCCTTCCAATCTCTTGCACTTTTCCATTTCTTCTTTATAAGCAATCGATCCGACACAGCTAAAGAAATAGGCTTTGCCAGGCACTGAGTGAGAACAGACAAAGGAGAAAGAGAATTTATTGCTAAGCACAAAAGGGTGTGAGAAAAAGCACAAGATCTAGCAAAGGGAAGCATTTATTTAGGAGTTTAGTTTAGATGATGGGGTAAATCAGAAACAAATCTAAGACAAGGGATGAGTTAGCAATTTTCAAAAAGTTTCAGGTGATAAATCTCAACCATTCGTTAGAAAGTTAATATATCAGACGGTTAAAATAAGTGGTCGACTTGGGCACTTTCATTGATGTTAACGTTGTTAATAAGCATTATCAATATTTTTTAACACAATTTTTTATTATTAACTAAAATTTATTTAAATTACGAAATTATGTGAGTTTTATCCTTTATAATTATTATTCATATTTTTATAATTATTAATAGTTTTTATCTAACGAGAGAATGTTCTCAGCTCTCTTCTAAAGTTGTTAGTTAGAGTGAGAGAGTGGCATCTTTTTATTTTGGTTCCCAAGATTCCTCTTGCAAACTATTATCCTATAAAAATATTATATTGAAAGCCTTTTTTTTGCTTTCAACTAACAAATTGAGATATTGTCAGGTGAACTCTAACCGCATCTAATTCTTATGAATTTGCATACTCTATGATTTGCCACTCTTTTTCCTTTTTGTTTTTATACTTTATAAATTTTTGAATGAGGTGTTGGGGAAAAGATAAGTAGTATAACCAAGTTTTGTGGAACTGGAAGAGTTTCAAGAATGAATATAGTCTACCCTCAGTACTTTTTAAATTTGATTAATAACTACATGCATATGGTGTGGTGTAATTAATCAGAGCCCATGCTGAAACAGCTAACTGAAATGGGAGAATCCAAGTTTATGTGTTTGGCATTTCTACTGGCTTGTTCAGTGCTCCAAAGGGTGTGGTCACATGGAGATCAGCCTCTGTCAAAAGTTGCTATTCATAAGGCAACAGTGTCCCTTCTTGACCTTGCTTACATCAAAGCATCTCCAGAAGTTCTTGGACTACAAGTAAGTTTTAACAGTGTTATGTAATGTAAGTTCATCAGTGGGGTCATTTGTAACTTGGTGGTCACCAAATTCTTTTTGCTTCTGTATTATTTTTCTTCTTGCCATCTTGCATATTGTCTTATTGCTGATCCAAGCTTTAGTGGATTCTTTATAGGGGCAAACTGCAGAATGGGTAATCCTGGAGTTCAGCACTCCGATTCCATCAAATGATGATTGGATTGGAGTGTTCTCTCCTGCAAACTTTAGGTAACATTCAAAATCTGTCCATTGAGATCCCGCCTCCACTACATATATGGCCAAAGTAGAGCTTATGACAATCTTCACTTCACAAGCTAGCTTTTAAGGTTGAATTAGGCCTAAGCTCAAATTTAAGTTGCTGCAGTTAAAAACTTAGTGGTGTACATTGGTCAGCTTGTCCCTTTTGCTCGTGATGTGCTCCTATGCTTTGGCCAGAAAACAGGCTCCATATTTTGGAGTCCTTCTAAAAGTTCTATTTAGTTGTCTTAATTTCTTGTCTACTGCAATAATACCTGTTCCCGTTTTGTATATTTCAGTGCTTCCACATGTCCAGAAGAAAATCGCAGGGTTTATCCACCCCTATTGTGCTCTGCACCTATTAAGGTACATGAGAGGATGTAACCACTAACTTGTTTTATATTCTTGTAATGACTTAACCACAATCATTTCTTTCAGTTTCTTACCTTAGAGTCCCTGAAAGCCATGAAAGAAATATAAAAAAGTAATGGTATAATTTATGTCTACTTCATTGTGCAGTATCAATATGCACGTTACTCAAATCCGCTCTACAATGTAACTGGAAAAGGGTTCCTGAAGCTTCAACTGATTAATCAGAGATCAGATTTTTCTTTTGCATTGTTTTCTGGTGGCTTGTCAAACGTAAGCCTGTCTTTAGTTTGAACTTGTGTGATCACATTGATGTTTATGTTCTAAGATTATATCAGAGACCAAAATATATTATTGAATATATGCATTAATTACTTCAAAGTGTATTCGTCCATGAGAAAAACTTGCCCTTTTTTTCAATTGTGTATACAAGTTAACAAATCCTTTTTCTGGGTACCTTGTTAACTGGGTGAGAATCAGCTTCTTGTATCTTTTTCTGTTCTCTTATATTATTCTCTTATAGTAATTCATATAACCCCTACCAAGAAGAAGGAGTTCTAACAATTGCAACCATCACCAAATGTGTTTTGCATTGCTTCTTGTTTTGAGTTTAATAAGGACAGTGCTATTATTGTAATTTTATTTTACTCATTTGATGTCGTGAATTCAATTGCTTTTATAACCTGACAATTCACGTTTCATTGGTATTTGGTGAATTACAATATAAGCTGATGTTTCTTAGTGTTGGTCCCAGTCCATTGACCCAACTAGATTTTAGGCTATGCTTATATATCTAATGATTGGAATGGAATAAAATGTAATGAGATGGTTATACTCCTCAAATGGGGGAGATGAAAATATATAATTGGGTGGAAATTCCATTCCAACTTATGTTAAGCAATCCAAACAATGGCAACTAATGCTATTCCATGTCATCTCTTTCCGACAATCCATAGTCTTGCTCATAGACATTTACACAAACTCGCTGATTCACCAGCTCTACCACCTTTCAATGATGGTATTATGGTTGACATACATGTCTTTTTCTATTTGGTATATTTATATAATACCTTTAATCAGTAATTTGGATCAGATTGTCAAATTCTATAAATTCAGCAATGTTTTTATGCCCCTCTGAAACTTTAATTTTCACATCTACCATGATATAGTAAAATGCAATCTCTTATTTGTTTTCTATTTACTTCATGATAATAGCCAAAGCTAGTGGCAGTGTCAAATAAAATAGCTTTTGCAAATCCAAATGCACCAGTATACCCTCGCCTAGCACTGGGAAAGATGTGGAATGAGGTAAACTCTATCTCTTCTTCGTTCTACTGCATAAAACTTATACACATAGAAAAGATAGGAAGTTATCAACATGAGAAAATGGTACATGAAGAAGGAATCCATTCAGCATGCTTTCATTATCTCTTTTAATTTATATTTAAAACAATACTTCTATATGTTCCATTTACTGTTTCTCTTCAAATGCTTCTTTCCTTTTATCAAGATGACTGTCACATGGACAAGTGGATATGCGACTAGTGATGCTGAACCTTTTGTTCAATGGGGTCCAAAAGGATAGGATCATATAAATTCACCTGCTGGAACACTGACTTTCACTCGTGAAAGCTTGTGTGGTAAGGGAGGTCATGCCTTTGAATTTATACAGTTGAGATATATCTTTTAACTGTAACTTCTACTTGACCCTAGGATTTGGAATTGACAATTTTATCACAACATATTGAAGAGATAATTAAGTTTTAGATATATGAATATTCATGGTAATAACTATTTTTCGAAAAAAGGCAGAAAAGTATAGAAGAATAATTTATATAAATTTGTATGAAAAAATAAATAAATTTAGGGGAACATTTTGGTGTACCAATCTAACATAATATTTTCTTGTTTCTAAATTGTTCTTGTCAATATTTAATTCAACCCAAATTCTTAAGCTGGTTGCTGGCATGGGAATAGATTTTTCCTCTTGGCAAATCTCATACACACTATAAAGTAGAACAAAAGGACAGGAGGCATATTCCTATACATGATATTTTTCTTTCACATTTAAAATTTGTATTTGTTATACAATACTGTTTGTCTCAGAGTTCCAGTTGATCAAAAGGAGCCCATCACTATATGTCAAACTCACTGCTTTCTAGTAAAACTTCATCTGATACCTTTCAACCTATGAAACATGGATACTGGACACTGACACAAATATGGTCACGACAAGAACACCGAAAGGGTTACAAAATGAAAATTGATGTGTACATAAAGTGATTATGCTTCATATCCTTCAACTAAGTGCTCAATCTACCATTAGTATCATCAGTTTTCTCAATAGTTTAGTTTGGTTGAAAAAGGTTCCAAAAATGTTGCTCATTGCACACCAACTATCTATTTATGAACAGGTGCACCAGCAAGAACAGTGGGATGGCGAGACCCTGGATACATACACACCAGTTATCTGAAAGAACTGTGGCCCAACAGAATGTAAATTATTTTCACTTTTTAATTTTATATTTCCCTTTCAAGGTATATGCCAACAAATATACATGAATCTTAGGTTTATCACAGATGACCTTTTCATCAATTTTGTGAGAACTTCACTCTGACATTGTTACTTATCTATTATGGGCATACTCCACCTAGTGGAATAAGGCTTATTGTTGTTTTGTTGTGTTCTAATTATATGCTATATATTTCATTTAGATCTAGACCTTAACATCTGTTAGAAAAATAGCTACTATTTTTCTTTTATCAAGTTCCTAACTAGATACAACCTTGTGTGTCGCATCATATTTTGTATATGAAATTTTAAGTTTGTTATAATTATGTCATGATACTTGTTTAATTGTGCTTTCTGTGGATTGTGCAGATATGAGTACAAGATAGGACACAAATTAAACAATGATACATATATCTGGAGTGGAAACTATCAGTTTAGAGCACCTCCTTTTCCTGGACAGAAGTCTATACAACGTGTAGTCATATTTGGTGATATGGGAAAGGTTTGAACTGTTACGAAAAAGTATGCATGCCTATATATTCGATGGATGGCATCTTCCAAGTTTCTCAGTAATGTTGGTCATGGAGTTTGATCCTAATATACATGCTGATAGTTTGATATTGAAAATTATGATATATGTGAACCGCAACCTTTTATTATACAATTCTGATTATTTGATATATTTTAACCATGTAGGAGGAAGTTGATGGTTCCAATGAATACAACAATTTCCAGCATGGCTCAACTAACACTACCCGGCAGCTTATCCAGGACTTAGAAAACATTGACATGGTTTTCCATATTGGAGATATATGTTATGCAAATGGATACCTTTCTCAGTGGGATCAATTTACAGCACAGGTGGAGCCAATTGCATCAGCTGTGCCTTACATGATTGCAAGGTTTTTATATGGCTTACCCCAAAAATTAGTCAAGGAAGTGCTTTACTTATTTATTTATTTATTTTACTATTATTATTATTATTGTTGTTACGATTTTTCTAATGTGTACCTAAGGGCACATGTTTAAAAATAAAGAGATAGTAAGTGCTTATTAAAAATTGAAGTATTCACTATTAGTAACACATTAAATTTTGTTATACTAATTATTTTTAATAAAAAAAAATTATCATCGTCGTCATTATTATTGTTGTTGTTATGTAATGACATCCTTAAGCTGCTGTTGTCCTTATAGTGGGAACCATGAGCGAGACTGGCCTGGGACAGGATCTTTTTATGAGAACATGGATTCTGGAGGAGAATGTGGTGTGTTGGCACAGAATATGTTCTACGTGCCTGCTTCAAACAGGGCTAAGTTCTGGTATGGCAATATAGTGGTTTGCAATTCTATCTGAATTATAATTAGGACTTGTTTGTTTCCCAGTCAGAAAATTAACTCTCACATTTTTTTTAATGCAAAACGCACATTCCATTAAAAATGTAGTTCAAAATAATTTATGAATGTATCTCAATTATATAGTCCACCAATGATTTTAATATCAAAGCTCTAGGTAGGGAATATTCAGCAGACTTCATCAGGTATTTGAAACGTTTCATTTCTGTACTCTTTTACCAGGTATTTAATTGACTATGGCATGTTCCGCTTCTGCATTGCTGACACCGAACATGATTGGAGAGAAGGAACAGAACAATACAAGTTCATTGAGCATTGTTTGGCATCAGTTGACAGACAAAAACAGCCATGGCTAATTTTCCTTGCACACCGAGTACTCGGTTACTCTTCCTGTATCTGTTATGCAGAAGAGGGATCATTTGCTGAACCAATGGGGAGAGAGAGCCTTCAAAAGCTCTGGCAGAAATACAAGGTGGACATAGCCATCTATGGCCACGTGCACAACTATGCGAGGATATGCCCCATATACCAGGTTTCTTCGACCTTGTCCACTTCATCCATCCAAATTTTAGTGAATATAGGGCTAACATGCACATTAATAACACATAATCTAGAACTAAGCATAAGTATTCAAAATGTCAAGGTCCCGACTATACTATTGAAAGAAATGAAGCAAACCTAATGGATAGTTTGGCTTTCCTGCACATTACCACAACCTTTCTTCAATTACCGATTAATTTGCCACAAATAGCATCATTTAAAACTTCAAATGGGAATGAAAAATGCATACTCTCTCTACTAACAAATACCTTTTTTTTTTTTTTTACATTTTACAACAGAATATCTGTACAAATGAAGAGAAATACCACTACAAGGGAACCCAAATGGAACCATACATATTGTTGCTGGTGGTGGTGGAGCAAGCCTTTCAACATTTACTTCCCTCAAAACCAAATGGAGTATCTTTAAAGATTATGATTATGGGTTTGTAAAACTAACTGCATTTGATCATTCAAATTTGTTGTTTGAGTACAAGAAGAGCCGAGATGGGAAGGTTTATGACTCCTTCAAAATATCACGGGATTATAGAGACATCTTGGCCTGCACCAAGGATAGTTGCCCAAGTTTAACATTGGCATCTTGATAGACAAAATGGTCAAAGCCTCAATGTAGATCTAGCCATGTCAAGCAGTGGATTATGGGTATATCTGACAATAAGCTGTCACCTTGACCAATTTGGCTTTCGTAGAATGCACACTCAATTTACTGCTGTTGGAAGTTTATGCTGCAAGCACTTTCTTGTACCTAAAATAGAATAGGAGGGCGAAATACAATGATACACAAGCAATTCCAGTAATTACCAAAACCCAATTGAATCCGGATGGATAGTCAAAAACTGTAGTTTCAAAATTCATTCCAAATACTCCTGCTACAGCAGCAAATACTGCAGCCACCAATGTAGCTGCTGTAAGAAGCAACTCAAACTGTATTAGGTGGTTTTGAATATTTCCCTGAAATAGATAGAGTGAAAAGTAATGCGCCCTGGTTTACAGTTTAGAGTATCAAAGAAATAAAGTAATAGAAACCAGAATGTTGCAAATGGCTAATCTTTGCTTACCAATTTTATGTTGATAAAATCTTCTGTGTCGTCAATGTATTCTTTGAGCTGCATTACCAGCAGAAGAAAAAAATACTTAGTGTCTGCACAAAGCACCATGCCTAAAATAATAAAATCATATGCTGTTAATTTAGGGAAAAAATTCATTCTGGCTACAACTCATTAGCAAAAGTCAGAAGGCAAAAATAGATGGCTGAAGGCATGCTTGCCTAATCTAATATTATATAAAGTACCTTAGTTATATAAGCAAATATTATGATATAGATACTCTTATGTTACAAGCAATATGGGTAGATTCTAATACTATACAGTTCTTAATAAGTCAAACTTCTCATACCGACAATAATGTGTTGAGAGTATTATCAATGACGACAAAGTATGCTTCAAGCAACATTTCCAGTGGCTCAATCCTTTCCCCATCATCAGATGAACCCATTAAACTACCATGTTTACTGGAATTTCCAATGCTGCTCAAAGCCCTTTGTAACATCTGGACTCCACTAATTGATCGCTCTGGTGAAGCAGGAGCAGATTTTGAAATGACTCTATTTGATGTACGAGTTTGAAAACAATCATTAAAAGTGTAACCGTCTGCTGATCTTCTCTTTTTTTCAGTTAGGCACATCTCAGCCATGTCACCATCATCATCCATGAGATGTTCTAATTCATCACGAACCTGGGAATTAAAAATAAGTTATTAGTTGCAGGTAAAAAAAAGCTATAAAATGAAAATAATAATCAAGGATGATAATTCTACATTGATCAACCTTTTGAACTCGTTGAGTCAAAGCAAGCAAATGACCTTTAAATCTTCGAACACGTTCTAGATTGAGAGTACTGATAGATGAGGCCAGTTCATCTAGCACAGGATATATTTCCATTTCCAGTTCTTTTACCTATCAAATCATCACCCTTCTTAATATTAGGGACTCAAGGTGACAACTTACATATGGCTGGTGTCTTATTCAGTGTCTTTTACTTCTAGGAAGCCATATAATGTGGCATTCTGAAACATGTAAACACAATTACCTTCATTCAAACACTGAAATAACAATTTAGAAAATCCAAGCTATACCTAGTCTGGAGCCATTGAACTTTATGCTACAATAATCTAGGTCCAAATATAAGATTAGGATATGAGGGCAGTGATAAGTACTTATTGGGGAGTATTGTGGGAAATGTCATATGTTTATTGCATAACTTTTGTTGGTTTTTACCCAATTTTCCTTAATTTATTGCAGGATTGAGGAATAGGATGAATTCAGACAAAAAACAGAAATTTAAAAAGACTTGGTGAAGATACTAATGAAAAGATTTCATGAAGATATCAACAAAAAGATTTGACGAAGATGATTTTGTAGACATCTATGGGGGATGCAATTAAAGAAATTCAGCCCAAACAAAAAATATCTAATCTAAATCCCAAATTTGGTAGATATAATGAAGCAGTCTTTATCCTTATCAAAAGAGGAAGGAATTATAGATTGGAGACATCAACTTTTATCACCTTAATGTCATCCTCCATAATATTTCACAGTGACTCATCTTTTACAATCAATTCAGATCTCCATGCACAATCTTTTACCAGCCTAAATTTTGATTGCAGTGAATGGTGGAAAATCTAGTGAGCAGTCAACAGTGTTACTTATCACCATTATGTTCTGTGGATTATCTGAATTTGCAGGCATTTAACACATAGGATGGTTGCTGAAATTGAGCTAGTAAATATTTTTAGAAACATGATAAATCCTGCAGTAATTTAACGAAAATACTAGCAAGCATATAAACTCACTGCTACCATTTTCAATACTATCACTAATTTACAGCCACAAATGTGGAGGATTCTCCAACAAATAAGAGTTTCAGGTCAATTCATACCTGAGCATCCAAAGAAGTGCATGTCAATTCCAGAGCCAACTCCAGTGCCCTGAATTCAAAAGGCAGATCATCTGTTCAAAAATGGCAGGCACAGTAAGCAATTCTATGCGGTAATTGCCTCCATCTAAAAGCTTAAAAGGACTCACAATAGCTTGCAAGTATGGCAACTATAACATATCTTTCAAAAAGAAATCACAATAGTTGGAAGTATACAATTTAAGCTTTCAACTTGTTACCAAGAAAAGACATCACATATTCACAGCTCACAACACTCAATGTATATCTTGCAATATGCTTCATCTGCTCCCTAACAGTGCTACAACAGAAAAGACCATCACTTATGTTAAGACCTTTTTCTGCTACTCTTTCTTGCACCTAAATGTATGTTACAGTAATACAAGCTGCCATCCTTACCAGATTTTTCATTCTGAAGCCGATTGCATAACTCTGACCTGTACTGACCAACGCTGCCATCCAATGAATTCATCAGGATTACTTCATCAGCAGTGATTATACACCGGATTTGCTCAAGGTTGACTACAATAGCCTTCTCCCGTCCTAATATTGTAGAAGGATAAATGAACATTGGATCCAATAGCCGGAGATCTCTAGAAGGCAAAGAACAATGCCTCATTATAGTAGCCTTGTCAAGTGTCAGAGTCTGAGAATTCCCATCCAGGCCAATTTTAATCCAAGAACGACTTCCATGACCTCTCTTCTTCAGGCCTGATATTCCAGTCCCACGATTCATTTGCCAATTATAAGACCTCCCACCCCCATCATGAGATAACGAAGATTCATATGGACTAGAAGAATAATACTGGGCATGTGTTTCTTCCATAGCAATTGCATACACTTTCATCAGTTGCAATACTGATACAATATTTTTTCTGCTGAGGTAGTCTCCATCAGTATGCACTATGCAGCAGCAGCATTCATTTCCACCACAACCATGATATATGGGTGATAACGGGAATCAGGAATCATGTCTACCACCTGATATGATCCATACTTTGTGCATTCTCAAATTCAAATCTGAAATTGGAAGATAAGATAGAACTAGTGTGCTAGTTAGCTAAACAACCCAAAAGAAAATTACTGGAAATTGGAAAGAGAAGGGGTAAAAAAATGAGGCCATATTTACTTCTTATAATAGGTTAATTATCAGTATTCAATACATATATATTTAAATTCAAAAAAAGGTTTTCCCATCAAACTCAACCAGATACCAGTAGCAGAATTTCATGTATTTTCCTTTTAATTTGTGAACACGAGAAGTGTTTACGCGAGTGCCAAGCTTCTGTGGACACACGAACCTAATTCACTTCCATGAGTAACCGCTCATTGCAAGTGTTGTGTCAAAGTAACAATTCACGTCAAATACTTCAACCCAACACTCATAAACAAACAGAATCACATCAATTCTCCATCCTTGAAGTAAATCTTAACAAACTCAAAATCCTAACTTTCCACTGCTTAATCTTCCAGTAAACAAGATTCCACCTTCGCATATATACCACCGCCCCATAATGGTTTCCATCAAATTAGATGAAAAATCAGCAAAAATGAAAAGAGAGAAAAAAAAAATTATGGGTGTAGTAGTTACCTGAAGATCGAAAATCAGTTGAAAATGTTGGGTAGGTGGAAAATGGGTTAAAGTAAGAGTGCACGGAAAAAAAGTTTCTCTTCAGGGAGAGTAGAGACAAAGAAGTATATGAATATTACATTACCAGAAACGATAAATTGTAACGAATGCTTTCAGAGGAAATAGCTTTGTGACATTGATTATCAACTTTTATGGTTCTGCTTTAAATTTTCATTGTTTAAAAAAAAAAGTAATAGACCCAATCATTTGTAACGGTGAATCACTGATCGGTCTGATTCTATTCATCAAGTTTTTCGGTTTTGTTTTTTTTATTCCTACTGGTAGTATTTTGTAACGTCCATGTTACGGTGGATTATTAAATTATGTGATTTTTATCTATAGATTATAATTAACTATTTTAAAATTAATAAATAAGAGTATAAGATGATAATTATTTGTTATATTATATTGGCATACAATAATTTCTTTACAGTATAGCCTTTAATAATAAATTTTATCATTAACCTGAATCAAGTTGTGAGAGGTTGTTTTAGTTTATGTAGTCACAATAATTTCATTTAGTTTAAACATAATTGTTTCTCTTAAAAATATTTATGGTTTAGAAAATAAATAAATTTTAAGTCAACGGTGATTAAAAGATAAGGTTACTGTAAAATAATTAAATAATATAAACTATGTTCATATATATTTTGTAGCTATAATAAAATAATAATGCTAAAAGATAGATATTCTAATAACATAATATTAAATAATAAAAAATAAAATAAATTTTTTGAAAAATATAATAAAAAATAGAAAATTATAGGTAAAAATAATATAATAATTAAACAATACTATGAAAAGAAAAAATTAGCTAATGAAAAAATAAAAATAAAGCACACTAAAATTAAACTTTAATAAACATTATCAAGATATATAATTAAAAAATAATATTAAATATTACACTTAAATTTTATCGATATATTAAATGATGAAAGAAGTAACCTTACCTGGAGGTGGGCACAGCGTCGCCCCAAGTAAAATCCTTGATAACACTAGCCCTGCTAGCCAACAAATGGCCATCAAGTATTGTTTCTTTCTGTAAAGCAGATAGCAACTTCATACAATCTTCTATCCGATGAGTAACAACTATTTTTGAAAATTTGTCATTAGATGATTTTAATAATTATATGATTTAATGGTGGAGTTAATAATTTTACATTTTATACAAATTTCACCATTTTTCTTAAGAAAAGTTATCCTAACTTTTTTCTTGAGTGCATCCATTCTAAATCCTTCCTAACTTGTCTAGTTTATAGTGTCCATTCACGCAATGTAACATTTCGATCTATATTATATTGACCATGCAACGTTTAATTTTATTTAACATCTCAAGTTTTATCATAGTTCAGTAAAATTTTACCTGTTAAGTTCAATGAGTAATACTGTTTTTGTCTTAGATACTACTTGAGACACTTTTCCATTTTATCTACATCGAATCCCACAATTTACATTTGTTTCTATTTTTCCAATACGATAGATCTTAAATACTTAAATTAAGTTAAGGTTTACATTTCTTGTTCTTTGGCTTTTTTTTAACTACCGGGCAAACGTGCTACAGTTGAAAGCTTGTTCCACTTTTTGTTTTTATCGAGTAACATGATGGTGGAATTTCCTAATTTTGGAAACAGGAAATGCTTAAATGGAAGCTGCTATCAAATTTGGTTTTGTTTGGAAATAAGTTTTGAAACTGGAATTAATTAATTCATTGAAAAAATAATCAGTTTAAATTTAAAATCCTATTTATATAATCAGTTTATAATTGAATTTGGATTAGATTTATATTAAACAAGTCCATGCACACTTCTGAGTTTTACCTTTTAGAGCTTGCTTCCTCATTCTAAGGATGAGTGGAAGTTTAAGGATATATCAGTTATCATAATATGGGTGGAAGTTTAAGGATGACACTTTGTTGGAAGATGTTAATGATCATATCTTTTGTTCATGCAATTATATGTTTTAATGATGAAACTTTTGCAGCATAAATGTAATATTTACATGTGTCCATTTGGTGCACAGAATTGAATATAAAATTAAATATTAAAATTAAAATTGAGCTTTAAAATTTTAATTAACATGTTTGAATATCTATTTAAAATTGAGATTATAATTTGTGAAATTTTATGACAACTAAATTTGGCTCACTTTAATTTCTAACCGGTATTCTAAAAATTCAAAATTTTAATACATAATTCACAAATACACTCCCATGTATCGTGTCTCTTCCTTATTTTCGTAGCTCTTGTTATTTCCTAAATACTTTTTTCTTCTAAGTACTTTATTCATCGCTTTTCCTTTATTCTTTCTTTTTCTTATACATCTTTCTTTTTCTTATGTCTCTTTTATTATTATTATTCTTTTCTTTTTTTAACTTCACATTTATGTTAATTATTAACATCACTTATTTTTTCTATGTTCTCTTATTTTTCTCTAGTCTCTTCTTTCTTGTTTTATATTAATTATTAATAAAAGTATTTTTTTTTCTCTATTATTCTTCCTCTTGTTTTTCTTATTTTTCGTTTATGTCATTTTCTTTTTTTCTCCATTTTTCTTTCTCCTTTTTTATATTTGTTACATGTTTAATATATTTATGTTATTATGTTGTATTGTTATTCTTCATTTACTACAAATTATATTGTATTATTATTATGCACTTTTTACATTTGCCGCAAACTATATTATTTATATTAATTGTATAATAAATTGTTTAGTACTTTTTTTGAATTGTTAGATGTCAAAGAAAATATTAGAAATTAATTCAATAACTATTAAGAGTACAAAAGAAACAAAAAAAAAAAAAAAAACTAGTGGTAGATGCAATATGATAAAGACACAATCAAGAATATACTTTTGAGGTAATTAGACAAACTAATGAAAATTGCTATAATCAATTACGTATTACTAAACAAACTTTTTTTGAGCTTGCAATATTTTATATGAAAAAGGAGGACTACATGATACTTATCATACGTGTCATGTAAGTTTAAAAGAATTTGTTGCAATATTTTTACTTATTTTAACTCATGATTTCAAAATGAATATTTGTATGCTTCCATCTAATTATATTTATTTTATATTTTTAATTTTAAAAATTAAATTATATTTATAAACATTTATATGCTTTTATCTAATTTATGAGAAAGATAGTTCATAACATAATATTAAATTTTAATGATAAATTAAATATAAAAAATAAATTTACTGTATCATAATTTTTTAAAAAAATATATTAAGTTATCATTTTTAACAATTTATTTAATAATTATTTTATATTTTTAAGTAACACATTATTTTTGAAAAAGTTATTAAATAAAAGTTTAATACAAAATTGAATTATTTTTTAAAAATTTAGATCTTAAATTCACATTATAGAATTTGATTTCAACTTAAAATTCTAATTATACATTCTAATTCTTTAAGTATGTTAAACATAAAATTATAATTTTGAACCAATTCCAATTCTAATAGAATTGGAATTGGAATTAAAATTATCATTTTAAATATTAATTCTGATTTCATGCAGTAAACGAGCCCTAAAATAAAACGTAGTTGCAATAAAATTGATTAAACACACGGAAGGATTGTTCTCTTTTATACTTTGTATAAATATTTATTGATTGAGACTGCATTTTGAATATTTTATATTGGTCGAATACAAACTTTAATTAATTCTCATTTTTAATGATACGCAAAACAAGTAAACAACAAAGAATTATGATAAGAATCTTAAGCATTGTGTGACTGTAAGTTCATTATCAATCGAACAATACATAAATTAAAGACATGCATCCTTAACATCACAGAGGTACTAAGTGGAGCTACTTATTAAACCTCTTATTTTGATTAGCTACCACATTAGAGAACTTTTGAAAACCCAAACTTTTTTAACTCACAAACCAAACTTTAGATAAATTAAGCCAAACTTAAATGACTCTTAATTTGATTAACCAATTTTGGGCACACGAGTCACAATGCCCTGATAATTAACGAAGACTCGAACCCTATCACACCGAAAATCAGTGGACACCAGTGATCCTTCTGGCACAGTAAAAGCCTTCACGCTTGGATTTTCCCTCATGATAATTTGTGTTGCTGCTTGTCCACTGATGCCAACCAATTCTTGCCACGAGCTCTTACCTACATTCAATTTCATTTGCCATCATTGATAATTATTAATACACTTAAAGACACTAGTTAATAACCTTTATTTTCTTTCTTTCTTTCTTTTCAAATTGGGATACTTAATGGTGAAATTAGTACAACTAATAAATGAAAACATATATGCAATTACCTTTGCAATAACTTGCCATCTTCACCTTTGATTTGGTTATCTTTAACTGTGCTAAGACATGGAGAAGCGAATGGTACTTATAGGAAAGAATTCAAAGATTTGGTCTTGAATGTAACGTGATTTTTATTTTAAAAATGATTATGATACAAACAGCCGGCTAAAGGCTTTGTATTTCAAATAATAATATAAGATTCTGTGTGTGATGGAAGATGATTATATTGTTGTTTTGTACCCATTTGGTAATGAGGAAGAGAGAACAAGAAGAAAGTTGTACTGTCATACGATGACTAGTTCAAAAAAATCTACTTTGGTCAACATAATCATGTGATGTTTGTATCGATCAATTTCTTAAATAATAAACTTTGCTTTCAATAATAAGAAAAAGAAACAACCTTATGATGTTTTAATTTTAATGATGTTAATTATTTATAGACTTGTTGTAAGAAATATTTTTATGAATCGTTTATCCAATGTGAAATACTTATTTCTTTTATCTACCCGGAAAAATAGATTAACTGAACTGCATACAAGTTATGCAACGCACTAATTAAGAGTGAAAGTTTAAATAGTTTAGAAGATCAAAACTTAAATTAATGATATATGTCAAAAATATTTCATTAGTACATGGGTATAATTTAAGAAAAGTATTGAAGTTATAAAATATCTGAGATTAACGAGGTCCTCAACAAATTTCATTTAAACACAATTTTCTTATCTATATAGGATAAATGATATATAGTAACACATTTTATCTTTAAATGTTTAAAATTCCCTCATTAACTTTAAAGTGAACTCATCACCATTTAAAAAAAATTATAATAGAACCAATAGCTAACATGCAAGTAGTTTTCAAAAACAAAGTGCGTGTGTAAATAATTTTTTTTTTCAA